AGGGTACTTTTGAGGGTGAAGGAGGTGCCATTAGTAATTACCTGAACCACAGGCATAAACCAGGACTGTTACATCCAGCAAGGACGTATTCCTTCCCTGACCCATTGCTTGTTTAAAGCGTGCTTCATCTTTCTGTGTGCCCCGTTATCTGGGATTCTTTGTACTTTGTCTTCTAAAATCTGGTGAACTCGGGAAGAAGAGACGGAAGTATAAAATGGGTAAGTGAAGGCTGAAAAGAAATCAAAGATACTCCAAGCAATATTTCAAATAAGCTGCAGGGCTGGTGAGATGGCTCAGGGGCTACAGAGGCTTGCTACCAAACTTGAGGGTCTGAGTTCGAGCCCCGGAACTCATGTGGTGGAAGGAGAGAGCCAGCTCCCACAAGTTGTCCTCTGATCTGCACACTCACGCTGTGTGGGTGTGTGTATGTGCAACACACACACTGAAAATAAAAAAAATAAATAAAACGAACATCAAGTCCAGCGAACCTACACAGCCTAGCCTTCCTCGCTCAGAGCTGCTCCATGTGTCAAGTGTGACCTTCTAGGCTCCCTGTGTGTAGGTCAGGGACACACACACACACACGCGTGCACAAACACACACACACACACACACACACACACACACAGCACTGCCAGTTTTAATAAGCTGAAAGCCTATAGTGACAAGCACGACTAATCAAACTGCAGAGAACAGCCTGTTTCTAATCAGGGAGGCACAGGATGGTCACTTCACTGTATTTCTGCGTTAGCTTCATGCTGCCTCCATGGGGGGAAAAGAAATCCCAGATAAGACCGTTGCTTCACATTCTAGCCTAGACCCTTTGATGGTTTGTTTGAACGTTTTATTAAATAGCTTTAATTATATATAGCATTGGCTTAAAAATGTTTTCTCTTGACTTTGCAGACATGCTTCCAGGGTCAATGAGCTACACAAGCATTTGCTAAATTGTCTGGCAAAATGCTCCAAAGGGGGCCACTAGGTGACTCGTGGGGTAAAGGCGGTTGCCCCCAAGTCTGACAACCTGAGCTTGATCCCTAGAATGTACGTGGTGGAAGGAGAGAACACTCCTGTAGCTGTCCTCTGCCACATGAGTCACGGCATATTTGTAAAGACACACACACACACACACACACACACACACACACACACACACACACACGTGAAAAACTGATCCAGAGACTGCGCTGAACTGTTACTGTACACTAGCATGGCCTTACAGTCACTAATTATATAATGCAGAGAGGCAGGTAATGTATATTGTTGAGTAACATTCCTTTAAATCCAACATGAAAATTTCTTTAGATAATAACAAATGATAAAATCTGGAGCAAGTTTTTTTTCCCGTGAGAAACCTTTAGCACAGTCCCTGTACCATGGAAAACTTACTACCACTTACAAAAAGTCAACACACAGTGGAGGTTTTTTTTTTTAATTAAAAATGTTTATTGGCTATTGCCCTTAATACATTTAGAACATAAAAGAATTTTTTTCAAATGTGCTAATAAGGAAAAGACCCAGGGACCTGAACAATGTTTAACAGAATTTTCAGTTTTAGACATAAGTAAAACTCATAAATTCATCCGGATTCTTGACTATTTACTAGTACTCCTTCAATAATGGCCTTGGTATTGACCAAGAGTACAAGCATATAAACAAGTACAAAACACATTCAATACAGATCACTGAGAACAGGAACTCTGTCTCCGTAAGCATCCTTTGCATTCATGAGGAGTCATCATACCACTAAATGGGAAAACAAAGTTGGGTTTCCAACACATGAAAACACAATAACTACATAATTACTACATACAATGTCCAGTAATGCCCACTATAAATTGAAGCCAATAAAATATAAGAAATGCATTTCTTGTATCTACAAAAAAATGAATATTTTAAATTGTATTATTTTTACAAAAACTACATGTATATACATATATGTTTTTGTGTATTCTTTAGAAAAATTGATAAATATAGAAAAGCACACATTAAAAAACAAAAAACAAAAAACAAAACTTTGTCATGCCACCAACAAAAATATAGATTCACAGAAAACCCAGGAAGGACAACCAGCCTCAGGGCCTGCAGATGCCAATCACCAAAAGTCAGGCCAATAGTGATTAATATTTAAAGGTGATGAGTATGGCTGAGATGCTAAACATTTTGCTTCAAACAGAAATCATCTGGTCCCATCCGCCATGCCTGTCCCCATTTACTCTGAGAAACAGGCATGGAAAAGTCAGGATTTGCCTGAGCTTACAGCTGAGTGGAATGCAAACCGATCCTCTACAGCCAGGCCAGGATTCTGTCCACATAACATAAACACAGAGCAAAGGAATCTCCCCCACGTTACAGAGCTAGTCATTATGCAGTTAGGCAGTTTATGAGCCTGGGGCAGGTCATGCTGGATCTGCGCAACCAGACAAAAGCAGCCAGGCAAAGTTTGGTTCCTAATGGTAAGTATGCTGGCTTTTGGAAGACAAGTCGTCACAAATAGACCAAGTAGCCAACTGAAGTCAACTGATTATAAAAGAGCCCCATATTCCAAGGTGAGCTGAGCATGGGTAAGTCAAGGGAGCCCTTCTGAATGACTGCACTGTCACGGGAGCACTGAAATCCAAAGTATGCCCCAAGGCCCTGAGAGCATGAGGAGAAACAACCAAAAAACCCTTGGTGGAATCAGTGAATTCCTTCTCCAGGCAACGGCTGTGCCTCAGATGACAAGCTACTCACACAGTCTTCTCCACTCAGCCATCAGAAGCTCGTCACCCTTTCAAAAGTCTCTCTCCCATCTAACGCGTTGTCTTCTCTAAATGAATCTCTATCTCCTAGTGGAATAAGCCTAGAAAGAAGTTTAAATCACAGTTCAAATCACTCTGATCAATGTTGTCCACTGAACTCTCCAGAAGACCTTCCTCTACACTCCCATGGACTGTTTGAGGCTGATGTCTTCATTCCCACCACGAAGGTTGAAAGCTCAGATCTCTGCTTCTTCACTGTTTCCAGAGACAAGGTAGGTGTGCATTTTCCAGTTCTCAAGACATTTGTCTGCGGATGAGTTCTTTCAACTGTGGCAGTGTGTCACTTTTGAGTGCTTCCCGGATGGAGCAGAAAAATTTGAAGTAGTGTTCAAAGTTGTGCATCATAAGCAGGACGCCGGCCAGGAGCTCGTTGGTCACCAGCAGATGGTGGATATATGCACGAGTGTGATTCTTACAGCAGTAACAGGAGCACCCGCTCACAAGCGGGCTAAAGTCTTCCTGGTACCTGAGCGAGGAAGATGGAGAGTCCAGGAAATGAAGACTAAGAAACTGACAACCAAGGCCAGGGTGGCTAGAGATACCCAGAGAAACCAGGTCTCGAAGAAACAGACAAAGGAAATCCACAACACAGGCTACTGCCTCCACCGGAGAGGCGACCAATGGTAAGAACTGCCCTGCTGGGTACCTGCTCGAGGTGTGCTCTGACAGACACAACCTTACAAGTCTGAGGCCTGAGACATTTGGTCAGTCATCCATCACGAGCATTACCGGAGCTGGTGCGAAGCACATGGTGTTAGGACTGCTCTTCTGGCAAATGCTGCTCCTCCTCCACTCACAAGCACTGGTGTTGCGGCCACCGCCCAACCTCCATAACTTACTGAAGCTTGCAGAGCTCCCCACGCCCGCTGTTTTAGCCAATCTCTGCACATCTCTTGGAAATGACCATTTTGACTATCTTTTTTCAGATGCAGACTACTGCTGCATATTTAGAAGGAAGGCTCGGGTGAGATCCCTTGTCCAGGGGCTTGAGTCTGGGCTCTACTACTCAACTGGGCATGTTGTTCAGCATCCAGCTGTGCACGTGTGTCTCATTCATTAACCAAAGACACTAACAGCCCACCTCCCTGGAACTGTGAGGTTATTAAAGGAGCTAGTGCAGCAAAAAGGATTTAACCCTGATTACTTGTGTTACCTTTTATCACCTACGAAGGGACATGACTTTTTCAAGGTCACATAATCAAACGCAGTATTAGGATTTGTCCCCAAAATGTCAACCTTGGCACTGAAAATGAGCATACTACAATTTCCAATTAGATCTAGAATGCAAGGCTATTTTACTAGTAAGCATTTCTATTACTTCTATTATTTCTAATATTTGTTTAAAAGGAAACAATAGTCTTGGCTACTTTAAAGAAAATATTAAAAGATGTAGATCACTTAAGACCCACAATCAAGAAATTACAATAGAATACTAATAGGAAGTAGGATTTGCATTCTTTTATAAGTTCTCAGGTCTATACCGTTATTAGACAACCATGAATAAGTCAGAACCCCTGAAACAACTCCTTATATAAACCAAATTCACCAGTGCTACACTCACAGAGAAACCACAATCTGAGGCTGGTGACTACCACTTTTGGTCAAATGCAAAGTTACGAGACAACTCAATTCTTTCTTCTTTTTGCTTTTGACACAAGATTTCCTATGTAGCTCCAGCTGGCCCGGAACTTGCTATATAGATCAAGGCTGGTCTCAAACTTACAGAGGTCCCACTGCCTCTGCCTGAGTGAACCCACCATGCCTCTCTCAGTTCACTCTTGGTTGATGGCCGATTTAGAATCTGTGTATACTCAAGGGGACTCAGACTCTCTTCAACGTATATGCTCCACTGTGTCTGACTTTGCAATCCTTATTTTTTGCTCTGTTACTAAAAGTCATCAGAAAAAAAAAAAAAGAAAAAAGAAAAAAAAAAATCAAGCAATGGATTCGGCCTCTTTCTGACAGCTTTTCTAAAGCAATAGCTATCTAGCTTTAGTGTTCTGACAAGACAAAGTACCCAAAGTCATCTGCAGAGGAAAAAAAAGGTTTTCTGGAACCATATTTGAGAAGGCCTAAGTAATGTCCAACCATAAATATTTTACGAAGTCATAAACTGAAAAGGGAACAGTTACATAAACTTAAGACAGACTGAAATTAAAAAGTCAGAAATCAAAACCTAAACTTCAAAAAATTTCTTACTTTTTCTCCTTCAGATTAATTTCCAATGATCTCATTTCTTGGTTGCACCTAGTTGCTTCGCTTTTCTTCATTTGATCCGAGCATTTTATTTCTTCTTGGATTCCATTTTGTTGCAATACTGAAGGGAAACCAATAAAAAGTCTTGAACGATCAGATAAGGAGTGCACACTGGAAAAATTTTATTCTAGTTATAATTTCGCAACCTTTGACCCTGTAACTCCATTCTTAGAATTAGCCCAAGGAAATCACCTACGAAAAAACAAATAGCGGTACATTCCCAGATGGCCACAGACTATTATCTACACCATCAGGACAACTGAAGACAGCTAACCAAGTCCAAGCTAATCATGGACCCAAGTACATGATATATAATCTGTCATAAAGGAATGACTTTAAAAAAACTGACTTATCATGATGGACGTGTAAATAAACTGGGCTTTGTAATAGCACATATTCCAAGTGGGTTAATGTAGAACGTGGCTTTAATTTATGTCCTCTGTTTGGAGACTCTGGCCCTCCAAGAAACCCACAGTACCCTTGAGCTCCTTGCTTGATGGAGAAACATTCCCTTGAACTGCAAGAGAAAGACCAGCTACTCTACAGAAATCCAGCTCCTTTCAACACAGGAAGTGGAGAAGAGGTATTCAGGAAGCGAATGATAGCAGCCTGTGTGGGTCCAAGAGAGCCAGATGGTTCTAGAAGGGTCATTTCAGCACAGCGACACAAGCACTAAGTACAAAATGCTATGGAATCGTTCACACGAATTGTGTGCTGACAGGGAACACAAGAGAGCTCTGGCATTTTGGAAAACCCTTGTCATTTGGGGAAGAGCTGACAACTGCCTTTAAAATCTTCACTAGGTAAAATTCCACAGACTTTATAGTACACACAGACACAAATACGATTAAAGAGTCAAAAAGAAAGTGAGAGAAAGAAAAGGAAGCCCTTCTCTGCAAGCTGGGGTGTGAGTGTGTATGTGAGTGTGTGAGTGTGTGTGTGGGTGTGGGTGTGTGCACCATGAAGACATGCTTCAAGGGAGTAGGCCATGGTCTGGGGCCCGGGTCCTCTTCCACTACCAGGTGTGTCAGAATCTGAAATAACTAAACAATAAAAGAAAATGGCAGCACTTCAAAGTAATATTAGCAGAACAAAGTAGCTTTCACATCTCAGTGTGTAAAAAACAGCCCAGAGAAGCAAAAGGCGACACAAGGATCCGGTGACGCTGAGATTTCCTGTGAGTTAATTGCATGGGGCTTGCAAAAGGGAGACAAGAAATCTTTTGTGGATAAAAAACAAATTAACTTTTACTAAGCTGTTCAAAGGTTTCCTTTCCTTAGATTTTCATCACGATTTACTCTGAATTTTCTCTTTTTCGGGCTGTGAACAAAGGAGGTCTTGTTTTTGTTCACCATAAAAAAAAGAAAAAAAAATCACATCCTAATATTGATGATCTACACGTACAATATTAAGTGCCTTGACCTAGGTGCCAACATCCCAGGGAACACAAAGAAGAAATCAAGATGGACCTTTATGAAAGACTGGTGCCACATGTACATATTTGTGCCTTGTGACTTGGGCCAAAAAGTCCCAGGAAATAGGAGAAACTGAAAGCCAAGAGTGAGGGGAACGTTAAAGACCCACATGTCTCTTCAGGATTCAGCTGGCAATCAAAGGTGAAAGTCAGGGCACAGCCCCGCTCGGTCACTTGATAGGGGAAAAAACTCTCAAATAAGTCCACTCCTCTTTCAACACACTCGAGCACTTCATCTGGCCGGCTGACCCCGCAGATGAGCCTGGAAAGACAGTCATGAGAACAGCAGCAACGTGAGCCAATGGCCAGAAAGAAATCAGAGAAAGCTTCCAAGTCAACGGGGCATTAAAAACAACCATACAAAAACGGCCACCAAGCAAGCTCAGGGCAGCAAGTATGTGAGGCAGGGCTTGGAGCTCTGAAGGACAGGGACATGTCCTTGACACCCAGCTCAACTGGCCATTTAATCACTGTGTTGCTTTGGCCAGTTCCTTTTCATCCCTGGCCTTGCTGTCTCACTTCAAGAGCAATTATAAAGATCTCCACAGAATCATCCTGGGGACTGAGGAAGTAGTTGAAAAGCAAACAGTATCATTTGAACATTTCCCATTCCCATCTTTCTGATCCACCTTCCTGGTCACAGACTCAACTTTCCACCCTGTCTAAACACTGCACAGATGTTTTTAAAAGCTACAATTTGCCTTATTTCTCCATTGTTGATGGTATTTTACAGATTCATTTAATAGTTCCTCTTGCTCTCAGAATTTCAGCTCTGACTCCAGGATCTACGGCTCTAGCTGGCTTTCTTCATATTTTCTTTGCTAATGAAAAGTCTGCCTGGGAAATGAAATGGTATCTTCCAAGGGAAGGGCTAAGGCAGTCTGGGAGCATTAATAATTTTCAAGCAGGTTTTGACAGGAGGCAAGACTCAGAGATGTACATGATTAGGACTGGCTAGCCACAACTATTTCTTTTTTTAATGTTTGTTTTTCTACCCATATCCCTTTTCATGAATTAGAGGAGAAAAGCTTTCATACTTTCTGATTCTTAAAAGAGTTTTCAAATGGGTTTATGTCATATTAAACAAGTAGAATCCTTATATGTATGCCAGCTTTCCTGACTACAGCCTCCTTCAAGTCCTGTGAGGTTTCAGAACTCCGCTCCAACTGAAGCTGGCATTTCTACACACTTAGAGAAAAACAACCCCAGCTTTCAAATTCAGAAAGAGACATCTGTGAACACTTAGCACAAAAAAGTCCAGAAAATGACTAGAAAAGCTCATGCTGAGCTGTTCATCTGCAGCACAGCGAAGGGGGTGACGTTAAAAATTGGTGTGTGCGTGCATGCATGCATGTGTGCGTGTGTGTCTGTGCGCATGCGTGTGTGTGTGTGTGTGTGTGTGTGTGTGTGTGTGTGTGTGTGTGTGTGTGTCTGTGAGTCCATGCGTGCGCACGCGCAGGATGACTGTGAACCCCTGTTCTGGGGGATCTTCACACCCATGTACACAGGTGTGATTCACTTAGCTGTCTCTAAGATGCATGTGTGTAACTGTACCTGGCTTTCAAAAAGTACTAAGATTATACACGTTCTGTCCAATAGCCCTTGAGAACAAAATCGCATCTCAGGGCCAAATTTCCCAATATATAACAGGTTAAAAGGCAAGAATATTCACATTATGGATAAAAGACTTAAAAAAAAAACTTTTAAAACTGACATATAAATTTTTCACAAACAAGATATTGGGGGATTTGTGGACACCATGAAATGGGCCAATGTAGCCAAATAACAAATGCATCATCCCATACAATTACCATTTTTCTGGTGACAACACTTAATTCTCATTCTGTTGTTTTCAATAAATATTATCATCATGAACTACAGTCATCGGGCTGCACAATGAACCCACTGACCTTACTCCTCTAATTTAAACGGAAGTACACATCCTTTGACAACATCTTACCCGCCCTCCTTGTTCCTCCTCCCCAACCTTTGATAAGCACCATTCTAGCTGGGCTTCAAGGACAGGGACATTTTCAGGTTCCTCAAGAGTGAGATCACACACAGGAGCCCTCTTACCATGTCTGATTTATTTCATCCAATGGAATGACATTTAGGGTCACCTGCGGTTTTTGGTTTTGGCGTCTGTATTTTTAATAAAGCAAGAAAATGCAGTATAGAGCTCAGTTGGTAAAGTGCTTGCCTAGCACGCACAAAGCTCTGGGCTCTATCCCCAGCACTGTATAAACCACGAGCAATGGTACACGCCTATAATCCCAGAGGATCCATAGCAAATTTGAGGCCAGCCTGCAATACACAAGACTCCCCAGAAGTAAAAATAAATACACTAAGAAAAGAAAACTTAGGTACTAGTATGACCTCAATTGCTCTGAAATCCAGAACAGAAAGATCATCTCGCCTCTGTTACCACTGCAGTACTCTGAGAAATATGTAAACAACAGAACCAACCCTACTAGTTACAGCAATTCAAAAAACAAACAAAACAATGCCACTCATTGCTTGCCACAAAAGCAGAAACTTCTTGAAGGTCCTTATTAACAGAGCATATCCTCATGCCGCTAGGCACTGCAGATTTCAACATGCCTTGACTTTACACTCATCTCCAGGTACCACATTACAATGAATAAAAAGGAGTGTTTGTATTTGGCTCAAGAATCAGAGGACACAGGGTAACATTTGTCCTCAGTTATGAGAATCAAATAAACTAATGTCATGCCAATTCTCCCCCTCTGCATTCTGAAAGCAGGATAGCAGCCTTGATGGAAACTGCCCAGCTGGCTGAGCATCAGACAGGACACGGGGAGCACACCCTGTGTAGACTGCATCACACGGGCACAGCAGCCCCGCCCCCTAGCAGGAACCTGGCCTGCATCCTAATCCAGCACTGGCCTTGGTTTGTCCTCGGGCAGCTCTTTGGTGACTGACGACAGCAAGTGCAGCCTGGTTTCTGGGACCGTGGGGTTCCCTTGAAAGCCGTCCAGAAGGAAGCCCCCCACGGGCCGCTTGGCTGTCTCTCGTGCCGACCTCAACCTCTCTTCCATCACATCTCCACCTTCAATCACTCCAATGACCACACTTTTCTGAAGGACCTGAGAGAAGAAAGAATTGAACGCTCTCAACCATTACAAGAACCGGAGACTTTGTTTGCATGAATTTTCATGAAGTCCAACAGACAGAAAGAGCTCATTGAAGGTACTATAGATGAAATGTTTAAGGGTAGTGGTGCACCCCAAGAACCTTTAGGGCTCTCAAGAACACATTGTAAAAACATGTTTTATGTTTGCCCTGAAACTAAATGTGCTCTGAGCAAGTACAAAAGAAAAGTCTGAGTTTTGATTTGAAGGACTCTCCAGGTCTGCTTTGAGTAACCTCCAAATCTCTCAGCTACATGTAACTTTAGGAACAGAGGCAGTCTGTTCCTAAGACAACTGGACTATCTATTTAAAAAAAAATAAAGATCCCTGCTCCCATCTTCAAAGAACCAAATTTGATAAAACTAACATCTAAATATAAAAATACACATATACAAGTATTAGAAACTTTGTTGAATTTTTATTGTCGGTGTAGGAGAAGGGCCTTGCTAGGCAAGCTAAAGGCTCATGGGAAATGGCTGACCTGCATAAACAGGAAGACCTCAGACCTTCTCAAGTGCAACAACCATAACAAAGGCAAAGAACTTATTCTTTGGAAGAATAAATATCTTATACAACAGAAAGAGCTCTAGAAAGTTCTTGAAGGAAATGACCGTCCCTACCCCCAAACTAGAGAGAATTTATAGAAACAAAACTCTATAAATGCAGGTGCTCTGCACACACAAGGCTACTGAAGTCACTAGAAATGAAATGCAGGTGGGAAACAATGAGATCCTCACCTCAGCAGTGAAACACTTAACAGAGACAGGACAGTGGGTCCAAAGTGTGGAGAAAGAGCATTTCTACATGCAGATAATTAGAGCAAACGTTAGCTCAGCTCTTAGGAGGGGGTGGTGGTTTCAATGAGATCCCCCCATAAGTCTCAGGCATTTGAATACTTGGTTCACACTTGGTGGCTGTTGGGGAAGGATTAGGCATTGTGGCCTTGTTGGAGGAGGTATGTCACTGGGAGTGGGTTTAAAGTTACAAAAGCCCACACGGTCCCCAGTGTGTTCTAATGCCTCCTGTTTGCACATCAAGATGTGAGCTCTCAGCTTCTCCTGCCACCTCGTCATCACGGACTCTAACCCTCTGAAACTGCAAGCCCAATTAGATGGTTTCTCTCATGAGGTCCCTTAGTTATGATGTTCTGTCACAGCGAAAGTGACTAAGACAGGGACAAGTAGACAGTGTTTATCAAAATGCCAATCCTTTTATCTCTGAGTCATAAAATTCAATCTCTCTTATAAATGTATTGATGCATGTGTATCAAGGTATATTTTCAAAGACGTACAGGAGAATAAAAACTAAACTAGAGATTAAAACAGTACAGCTTCCTAAGCTGCTTTAAAAAGAATGCAGGAGAAATACTAACACATGCATTGATGGGGAGCATTTTAGGACAGTTAGTAGAAAACATGCAAACTGCTTTACATATGATCGCATTCATGTACTGCAGATATGCCTACCTATGTACTAAATATACGCAAGTGCCTCTGAAGATGGGCCTTGCAGGAGACACACAAGTCATAAGTTGCTCTAAGAGGAAAGGAGGGCAGGGAAGGAATCTGGAGTGCTGTGGGAGGGATGTGCTCCTTCAACGGAAGGGACAACCAGACTATTCGTCTTGTTTAGTGTAGAGTACTTCAGGGGTAATTATGGTTGAGGAGAGGGCACAGGCAGCTTCCCCAGTCTTGGTGAAGGATAGCAGGACCTGGACTAAGGCAGTGGCTGTGATGAAGGGGAGTGGTGACATCTGACAACAGGACAGTAGTAGGATTCTGGAATGGCTGCTGCTTACTGTTTTAGGAGTCCAAGGAGATGGTGGCAAGTGCAAAGACAGGAAGTAGTTCTACAACAGTGAAGGGTGTGACGATTATTCTGTCCAGTGTATTCTAAATCACTGGGACATACACATGACAACTGTTCATTTAACCACGAAACATGTAAAGCAAGTTATAGATAGGTGTGATACAAATCAAAGTGCCCAGACTATTTCAGTAGATACCGGGCAGGATACCACCACTTCCCCTTCCTGCTTCCACAGCAGATCTGGCTAAGAGACAACTCTCTTCCTGCAGCATTGGCACAATTCTAACCACCTGGATGAAACCACTTACTATCCCCAACCTAGGGATTACCTGAGGAAAAAAAATGACCAAACATGGCAGAGCTTCAGTACCGGATGGTATTAAGAATACAATCCAAGCCAGGCGGTGGTGGGACACACATTTAATCCCAGCACTCAGGAGGCAGAGGCAGGTTGATCTCTGAGTTCAAGAACAGCCTGGTGTACACAGCAAGTTCCAGGACAGCCAAGGATACATAGAGAAATCGTGTCCTGAAAAACAAAAAAATAAGCAAATAAACAACAAAAAAAGAGTAAGATCCAGGAACCAAGAAGAGGAAGGAACCACAGAAAAAGGAAAAGTTGTATGCATGCGTAGAGCGGGCAGCTGTATAGACCTGCCCCTCCACATCACCATCACAGCTTTGTGTAGGAAACTCCTGTTCATGGGTTGAAGAAGTTTGGTTGTGTACTCTACTGTTTAAAATGGAACACTTAGGAAAGGAGGCACTATTAGTAGTATCAGGACAGAAGCACTCGGGATACAGAAGGGGGCCCCAACACTTAAAAACACGCACAATAACTGATGATAGGGCTGACTGAAGAACTCAGACGAGGGACTCAAGACTCACTCGGACTTTCTAGTCATCTTTCCCACATTCCTTTAACCGATGTTACAAATATGACAAACTTGGTTAGTAAGCCAATACCAACCACCCAGATCCAGAGCAAAATCACTATGCTGGTCTCCTCTGCAAACCTAGTTCTACTCAGGTCAGCAGCGAAGTTTCCTAATTAAGCTTACTAACCAAAATATAGTTTAAATTTGGCCCCACCAATCACCATTACCATTTGTTTTTCAGACAAGCTCTCTCTAGATAGCCCAGGCTGGCCCTGAATTCACGATCCTGCCTCAGTATCCCATGTGCTGAGTGCTGGCGTTACAGGAGTGAGCCACCAGATCTGACTGCTCACTCCCCTTTGCTTCCTTCGTCCTCTGTTCTCTGTGCTGTATCCTTTACCACTCCCTAACCTGCTCTCATGCTGAGATTTACTGACACAGCCTCATGTTCAGCTCACCCTAACACTTCACTGTTGGCTTACTCTATGTCAGACATCCCGCTGTATGATAACGATAGAAAACTGGCATGTAAAAACCGAGCTTAATAAAAGCAACAGCATAAAGAAATCGGTGCGGTACAGTATGGCCAGGGCTCCAGCACAGCACACACACACAAACGATGACTGGAACTTCCTGGAAGTGTCAGCGACAGTTTCATAAACTGATGAGTGAATGAAATAAGCCTGATGGAAGCAAGAGAGGGAATATGCCTGGAGATAAATAAGAAAAGAAAAATCCAGGGGGAAATATCCGGGTATAGGTAGCCCAGAATGAAACAAATAAATGCTTCAAGGAACTGCAAAATCATTTAGAAAGACCAGACTCCAGTCATAGGATAAAGTCCATGATGAGCAGGGGCGTGCCAGGCGGCGGTAGACTGTGAGAGCTAAGGTGAAGAACCACTGAACTGTGCAGGAAACAGGCAGTGGGCTCACATCCCTGCTTTACAGTGACCTCCTAGAAAGCAGAGCTGAAGACCGGTTACAAATGAGAAGGAGGCAGCTAAGAGAGCCAGAGATGACCACCGACATGAGAAACAGTGCAACAGGAAGTGTGAGAAAGAAGAGTCAAGGCATGTTTAAAGGGATCAAGGAGGAGTGTGCAATTGGATAGTAAATGTGCATGATCAGGAAGTCTTAAAACGTTTAAATTCCTGGGCTGAGGAACTTGGTGAATCCATAGCTGAAGTTAAGTATTGAGAGAGACTAGGCTTGAGAAAATGAGACCAGGAGTCCAACTGCCTGAGTGTGAACATTCTAACGCACAACTTAGCTCCAGTCCAGTATGTACGTGGTTATGACTCTCAGTTAGTGAAAGGAAACTGACAGTGTATACATCTTCAAAATGGTTCACCAAATAACGAAAACTAAATGAGGTTTGGGGACAACACACAGAGCACAGTGAAGAGTTTATGATGGAATCCTGGAGAAGGAACTTCCTGGGTTCAGCAAAGGAAAGCAGGACAGGTAGAGATAAAGAGGAGCAGGGATGTGGGCGGAGGGACAGCTGAGGCACATCTGGAAGCAGAAGGGAGGTGAGCGTTTCCACAGAGGGGCTAGTGGGCAGCCTCACCTCAGACTCTTCCTGTAGTCGCAAACAGCTGTCCAGGAACTGAAGTGACCGATCCACAGACTTCCTGGCCCTTTTTATGGAAGTTGCTTCTGCACACGATGCCTCCCCATCTGAGAGGCACTGGAACCAGTCTGGTTGCAGGGCCTCCTGAATTGCCATGAACTTGGAAACAGTCATTTCCACGCGACCTCCAAAACCCCACACGGACACAGACTGCCGTGGAGCAAGAGATGAGGAATTAACAAGAGTAACATAAAGATAAAAAGGAAATAATTCATCTGGATGTGGCGATTCCTAACTGGAGAGTGTGTCAATTCCGTACCCTAGACGTGGTGATTCCTAACTGGAGAGATGTGTCAATTCTCTACCCTAGACGTGGTGATTCCTAACTGGAGAGATTTGTCAATTCTCTACCCTAGACGTGGTGATTCCTAACTGGAGAGATGTGTCAATTCTCTACCCTAGACGTGGTGATTCCTAACTGGAGAGATGTGTCAATTCCATACCCTAGACATGGTGATTCCTAACTGGAGAGATTTGTCAATTCTCTACCCTAGATGTGGTGATTCCTAATTGGAGAGATGTGTCAATTCCATACCCTAGACATGGTGATTCCTAACTGGAGAGATTTGTCAATTCTCTACCCTAGATGTGGTGATTCCTAACTGGAGAGATTTGTCAATTCTCTACCCTAGACGTGGCGATTCCTAACTGGAAAGATGTATCAACTCTGTACCCTAGACGTGGTGATTCCTAACTGGAGAGACGTGTCAATTCTGGACCCTAGACGTGGTGAGGAAGAGATTCACCACACTCCAAATATTCTAGGAACATGTGGCCTTGAGAATATCCTTCAATGGTCAACCAGTCCAACTTCTGGACTATTCCGAGACTTCTTTACCATGTCTCTCTGGTGCAACCCTCCCTGTCTCCACTCCTGTCTCCTCCACCACACCTCAAGCCCATGGAACTAGACTCTGAGACCTTTTTACCTCCCACGACAGTATATTTGAACATAAATACCTTCCTCTCACTTCCTAGTCTGGCTAAATACTATGCATCCTTGAGGAAACTGATTTAAATATTACCTGATCTAATCACCTCAGATCCTGGACACAATTCATTGCTCTCTCCTCTAAGTTTCTGCAGCAATTTGTATTTATATAAATACTATTTTTTAAGTTCAAATTAAAAATCAAAAGTGTAAGTCAGAAGCACAATTGAAAACAGTATTCATGCTGGGTGGTGGTGGTGGCCCACGCCTTCAATCCCAGCACTCGGGAGGCAGAGGCAGGGGGATCTCTGTGAGTTCAAGGCCAGTCTAGTCTACAGTGAGTCCCAGGACAGCCAGGGATGCAGAGAAACCCGGTCTCAAGAATAAAAAAAAAAAAAAAAAAAAAAAAAAAATCCCTGTCTTGTGGGGAAAACCACCACAGTACTCATAAGGGAAATTAACAGACAGTGTAGAGGAAGTGAGTGCGCTTGTAGAGCAGTGGTGCCCACTGAGCCCTGACTGATGCTGTCCTAAGGGTGGTGCTAACAGAGCCTGGCTTAGGTGAAACTTTTCAGGGAGCTACCGATACCATTCTTCACTCGCTACAAGCTCTGGCTAGAGATCCAGCCTTCCGACTTCTGATCTACCAGCAGTGGCACTGACCGAGAGATCCAGCCTTCTGACTTCTGATCTACCAGCAGCAGCACTGACCGAGAGATCCAGCCTTCCGACTTCTGATCTACCAGCAGCGGCACTGACCGAGAGATTCAGCCTTCCGACTTCTGATCTACCAGCAGCAGCACTGACTGAGGTTCCACCTCATACAGGTCCACCTGTGTAACTAACACATCACCAACTCTCCTACTCTTCCCGGAGTGTTAAAACCACACACAGAAAGCCACATCCAAAGACTACATCTACTCTCCTCTCAGCAATTTCCCATTTGGCAGGCACTTGACCTTCCTCCACTCTCTAAGTGGTTCTCAATCTTCCTAATGCTTCGACCCGTTAATACAGTTCCTTATGTTGTGGTGACCCCAACCATGAAATTATTTTTGTTGCTACTACCTAAGTGTAATTTTGCTACTGCTATAAATCATAATGTAAACATCTGGTATGTGACCCCTATGAAAGGGTTGCTTGAGCTCCCAAAAGGGTCGAGACCCACAGGTTGAGAACTGCTGCTCCAAGTTTTTCCAACAACATAAAAATGCTGAGGATCTGTTCCTGAATGTAACTCATCTTCAAGCAGACCTCCTCAATCTTATGAATCGTCACAGTCTGTTAAATCATCATCACAGAGGGCATGAAGGAATCGTGTTAGCAGCTAAGGGATACCAGTGGGCTTCCGGGGACAGGGCTGCAGTCTGGAGGGTCCTTCTGAGAACACACCTTATTTGTCACATAACCAGCAGGGCCGGGGCTGACTGGATCGTGCAGGGAGCAGTAGAAGAGGGATTCTGGCATGCCTGTGTAGACACAAAAAGAACCGTTCAAAGGGCTATGGGAAAAGCTTCCCAGCATGTCAGCATGTGTGTATAGATAAAGTAACTCTAACCTCAGCCCACAGAGGGAACCTGATCTTGGATTTCTAGAGGGCCTGTGAAAAGGGAGAAAAGGACTGGGGACCTTCCAGCCTAAAGGAATTCAATGTAAAACTTCCCATTGTGCTGAGAAGGAGTTCAACTGAGAAAATGCCTCCATGACACTGGCCTACAGACAAGTCTGTTGGGCACTTTCTTGACTAATGATTGATGTTGGAAGACCCAGCTTACTGTAGCAGTGCCATCCCTGGGCTGGTGGCCCTGGGTTCTATACTAAAGCAGGCCGAGCAAGTCACACAGGGCAAGCAGTGTTCCTCTGGGGCCTCTGCTTCAGTTTTTGTCAGACCATGTAAGTCTTTAAATACACCCTTCCCACCCCAAGTTGCTTTTGGTCACAGTGTCTTTATCAGAGCAGCAGAAACCCTAACTAAGACAGAAACTGGTATCTGGTTCAGGGGACACTGCTGTGACAGACCTGCCCATGTTGTTTTGGGCAGTATTGTGGAAAGACAGACTTTGGAACTTGGGGCTGGAAAGCCATTGAGTGCTCAGAGCTTACAGAGCTGTTGTGGGGACTGGAAGATAATGTTGAGAAAGAAAGACAGTGGGGACCTGGCTTGTGAAGTTTCAGAGTCCCTCAAAGACTCTATCAGGGTCATCTTAGGATATTCTGAATTGAGAATCTGTTGTTCTGGTCAGCTAGAGCTGAGGAGTGAGCTGTGATTAATAAGACACCTGAACCACTAATGTGAAACCTTTGCTTTCCTCGGATAATCTATACTGGTTAGCAGGAACTGAAAAACCAGCAATGATTCAAGAGATCAGCATCAATGTGGTAAAACCATCAATGAGGTAAAAACCAGCAATGATTAAGAAATCAGTATCAATAAGGCGTCAGCACACAGAAGCAGTGGTCTAGAGAGGGCCAAGGCAGCATCTCATGCTGGCAGCTGAACTTTGGAAGAATCTCCCACGATACTGGTTTTGAAGGCATAAAGAGGTCATGGAGAGCAGCTGAGGCTTGGCACTATGAGAGCCCAGAGAGTCCACTGGTGATGGTGCAGCCTCAATTGCGTGGAAACCCCAGGACTTCAGGAGTTAGGGAGAGAAGCTGAGGACTGGTACCATGTGACAGGGTTGGAGTCCCTGAAGGGAGGCCAGGCCATTGGCTAAGGTGCAGCTTGTGGAGAGCCCAGCATATTGGAGATGCCAGACCAGAAGACACCTGTCAAGGACAGCAGCAACTATGGGATGGAGCTGGCCTGGCCTATTAAATAAGCTGTGTGTGCTAGGTTGCAGAGCTGGAGAAGGGCCACTGCCAGGGTCCTTTGGAACACAGATAATCGTGAGTGAACCTCAGATGTGAAGCACTGAACTTTTCTTTCTTTCTTTCTTTCTTTTTTTTTTTTTTTTTTGTTTTTTGAGACAAGGTTTCTGTGTAACAGCCCTGGCTGTCCTGGAACTCACTCTGTAGACCAAGCCAGCCTTGAGATCTGCCTGCCTCTGCCTCATGAGTGCTGGGATTAAAGATGTGTGCCACCATGCCCGGCTAGCACTAAACTTTTTATACTTTTGAATTCTGGTCTTGCTTTGATTTGATTATGACTGTGTCCTGGTTCTTCCCCATTAGAGTAAGGAAGTATGTAATTTCTTATATAAATATATTATTATTTTATATACAATATATAAAAAGAAATAAATTGCATACTGAATGGGGCCCACAGTTCAGAAACTTTGGACTTTCAAGAAGACATTGAGTTTTTAAAAAGAACTTGGATTTTTTTTTTTTTTTAAGATTTATTTATTTATTATGTATACAGTGTTCTGCCTGCATGTGTCCCTGCAGGTCGGAAGAGGATACCAGATCTCATTACAAGTGGTTGTGAGCCACCATGTGGTTACTGGGAATTGAACTCAGGACCTCTGGAAGAGCAGTCGGTGCTCTTAACCACTGAGCCATCTCTCCAGCCCAGAACTTGGATTTTTAAAGTGTTTAAAATATTTTTAAACTGTGGGACTTTAAAGTTAAGTTTAATGATACATTTCAGTGACACACTGAAGAGTCCAAATTTGATTTAAAGACTTTTAATATCTGAGTTTTTTGTTTTGTTTTGTTTGTTTGGTTAGTTTTTGGTTTTCTTTTTTTTCTTTTTCCGGTTTTTCGAGACAGGGTTTCTTTGTGTAGCTTTGCGCCTTTCCTGGAACTCACTTGGTAGCCCAGGCTGGCCTCGAACTCACAGAGATCAACCTGGCTCTACCTCCTGAGTGCTGGGATTAAAGGCGTGTGCCACCACCACCTGGCTGGTTTTTGGTTTTCTTGAAACAGGGTTTACTCAGACTAGTCTGAAATTCACTCTGTAGCCCAGGCTAGCCTTGAACTCTGATGCTCCTGCCTCTTCCTCACCATTGCTAGGATTTCTGGCCTGCGCTATCACTTTTGGCTCAGAACTCATCATCAAGTACGCTAACTCAACCAGGTGGTGGTGGTGCAGGCTTTTAACCCCAGCGCTTGGGAGGCAGAGGCAGCTTAACAATAATCATGGGCCCCTAGGACAGGATACAGGGAAGCTGTAGGATACTGTGAAGAGATCTAAATTGAATCTCACTTTCAGTATGTTTCATGGACCCAAGATGAGAGTTCTGAGGATCTTTAAGTCAGAAAGGAAATAATTTGGTCTAAAAAATCTTTTTAAATGATTAATAAGCTAAGGGCTGGAGAGATGGCTCAATAGTTAAGAGCACTGGCTGCTCTTGCAGAAGACCTGGGTTCAATTCCCAGCACCCACATCTCACAGCCACCTCTAACTCAGGTTCCAGGGTATCTAACACCCTCTTCTGATTTCTGTGGTTACCAGGCATACACATGGTGCACATACACACACACACACACACACACACACACACACACACACACACACACAGACAAAACATTCAGATACATAAAGTAAATATTTAAAAAATGATTAGTCAACCATATATACTTAAATTTCATATGGTACCCCACATTTCCCATAGGATTTCACTTAAAAAAAAAAAGATGAAAACAAATTTAAAAAGTTAAAAGCCCCTGCAGTGTTCTACATTTTTACCACTGAAATTTGCTAAATTTCCGTTATTACAATTATCTCTGGCAAGTGCACGCTAGTCATGGGCACTAAATGAAAGGCCTGGAGCCTTCAAAGCTGGTAAATACAATTGTTCTCAGTTGATGGGCACTGAGATTACATAATCCCCTCTTCTGAACCAGCGAGGCATCAGGCAACTTCCCTCTAAAGCGGAAGGATGGATGACCAAGGATACAGGAGTCATTTACCTATGAGGCCTAGATGTTGGGGGAGTTGAGGAGAAAGTGGTCCACAGAGGACCTGGTTCTGTAGCCACTACCTTTAAGGCTTTCCCACAACTAACGGGGCACAAACATCTGCACACAGAGTCCTACCTCTGGAACAAAAGGTAGTACTAACCTGTCAGACACATCTGCATCCTCTTCTTCATGAATGAGGCTCATGCCTGGGGAGACAGCTCGGGAGTGTATAGACGCTGTGGTCTCGGCTCTAGTCTCGGCTCACAACTTGGGGTGCTGCCTACCCCATACCTGCTTACCACGACCACTGCTTCCACCCTGACCTGGCTAACACCTGTTCTCCCCTAGTCCAACCAAGATGCCCCCTCATCTTCTTCCTCAAGAATTCTTCTTTATTCTGATCCCTTTCACATGTACCCAGAGTAGATATACGCCCCGTGTGGTCTGTAATGATATATGTATATAAATTTGACTCTACAAAGCAGCAAGAATCATGTGTGTTTTCCAGAACCTTCAATCCCCAATGCTTCATTCTTAGATGCCTCAAAGATGATTATTAAAAAGAAATAAATGTATGAGCAAATCACAGTGAATCAGCAGGACTTCCAAACTCCAAATGAACACATCACAAATCACACATAGATGGAATTGAAATCATCGTTACCTATAAAGCTCCCAACTCCTTTCTTATACTCTGCCAAGACTTCATGATGTTCTGCCCTGTAAGAAACACAGAACAATGCATGCCATAGCAATGGATCATTTTTTAGCTACTCTGCAACACCGAAGCCCTCTTCTCACCCGCTAAGCCACACGCTAGTGAATGCCATCCTCAACACCAAAGCCCATGGCTTTTCAAGAGGTGCAATGGGCAGGGCTGGGCTCATTAGTTAAAGGGGAGGTAGACAATTTGCCAGTGCGGCATGAGAAGAAACACTGACAAAACCACAGCTGCTTCAGAACACCTGGATTTTCTGCCTTTTCTTGCCCCTTTAAAATCACTGTTAACACAATAGCTCAGTTACTTGATCATTCAATAGCTTCAATGGAACAGTTAGTTTGTACTTAACAAAATGATTTGACTCCATTGATCTCATTTCAGTAAAGCTGTACCAGCAACTGTGGGTGCAGAGGGCACAGGAACCTTTGAACTCCGTTTGTTCTTATACGCAGGGAGGAAGAGAAAGGGCCTGAAAGTTTGAAGGAAATGCAAAGCATTGCCAACAGACAGGTCTGGCTGGTGGTTCCAGGTTGGACCAAATGTTGTATAATATCTAATACTTTTCTGCGGTGATGTATCGTGTCCCCCAATATACTGTGTCCCCCAATAAACTTTATCTGAGGATCAGAGGAAAAAGCCAGCCACTACAAGTAAACATAGAAGTCAGGCAATGGTAGCACATGCCTTTAATCCTATCACTTGGGAGGCAGGGATCTGTCTGGATCTCTGTGAGTTCAAGGCCACACTAGGGAACAGAGCCAAGTGTGGTGACACACACCTTTAATCCCAGCACTAACTAGAGGTCTGGAGGTCTGTACCGACAGACAGGAAGTGACAGAGCTGGGCAGGAAGAGGAAGTGACGTAGCTGGACTGAGAAAGCAAATGAAGGAGCAGAACAGAAAGGCATATAGGCGTGGGTATACAGGAAGTAAGTCTCTCTCTTACTGCAGAGTTGGTAAGGAGAGGTTAGCTGTGGTTTTTCCTTTCTGGCTCCGTAGTTTTTTATTAATAAGACCGTTTAGCAATTTGTCTACACTTTTCTTCTGATTTCATTTTTAAAATCTATAAATTATGCATATGAGAAAAGAAAGAAAGAAAAGAAACCTTCCTCTCTGTTACATCCAAGGGCTGGATACCTGAATGGTTAGGTTCAGCACTCACAAGGTTGACAGTGTGAGCTGGGCCATGGCTGGGACCCCATGGATATTATGCAGTGTGTGATGCGTCAGGTGTGGGGCAGAACCAGTCCTGGTGTAGAGAAGACAGCCCGGAATGTCCACCGTGCAGTCGCCTGCCTTGCCCAGGTTCTGTATTGTTCCTAGACGACAGCCATTAACGACTTTGATGAGACTCAGCTTCATCACTAGGGATTCTTCCAGGTTCTGAGAAGAAAACGGCATTACATTTAGAAGACGATCCATGACATCTAAAGGCTAAGTACTCTGCAAAGAAAGCAATGTGAACAAAAACGAAGAACAGCTGCATGTCTATTATCTCCAGTTCACACCTTTCTCGGGGATCAGAGACCAAGGTTCTTTCTCCAAGGTCCCATAACAACATGATAACACCAATCACTTTGAAATGTGGAGTGTGTGTGTGTGTGTGTGTGTGTGTGTGTGTGTGTGTGTGTGTGTTTCACATACTTCTGTGGAAGCTGATAAAAACAGAGCAAATGAAAGGACTGAAACAGAAAGGTTAATTGTAAAAAAATTGCACATGAGGTCACTCAGCCTTGAAAACCTGCAGGGAAAGGTCATACCACTCACGGCACAGGTTACTAATTTGAACCACATTTCTTTCTCCAACTTGAGATGATAGTAAGTAATACTGGCTTTTTCCTCCTAATAGTGTTCAATAAAAAGATTCCAAAACAGTAAAATGAACATACATCAAAGACTGCAGAGCATACAGTAACATTTTATCTGCAAAGTGATATGATCATATTCTAGTTTATTCACATAGATATGAGAAACTACATGAGCTTATAAATGATCTACGAGTGATTTCATAATGGAAAAGGTAAATCTTTAAAAAAAAATAGATATTCTTTCTAACTTCTATAGAGACACCAAGAGGGTTTGAAAAAAAAAAAAACAACAGAAAACATTATTTGTAGGATGTTGTTCAATAATTAGTACTCAGTGTGAAAAATTATGGTTTTAAAGATGCACTACCGAGTTTGATAAGCCAGCAGGGTTGATCATTTATAAAGTGTCATCGGAGGGTTAGGTAGGAGACGGCTCAGTGGGTAAAGGTTCTTGCTGCCAAGTTTGCCACACTGGGGGAAAGAAAAGAACTGACTCCCAGAGTTGTCCTCGGACCTCCAGAAATACGTGGCACAGTACCTATACACACATACACACATCACACAAACACACACTTTTTAAAATTTAAATGTCACTGGACATATCAACGGTTTATAAATACTTTACTACATCATTACAGCAAGGACTCTTGGGAACTCTTGCCAAGTGAACCAGGCCAAGGTTTTATGTGCAAGTGATTGTATAGGTGCTCATTCCCGTGAATGCATATATGCAGAGGCCGGCAAGTAATGCCAACTTCCCAGAATCCACCTGTTTTAGCACCCTAGTGGTGAGTCAGAGGTGCACGGCGGCCACACCAGGCATTTCCATGGGTGCTGGGGATCCAAACTCAGGTCCTTGGGCCTGCAGAGCAAGCTTTGCACAGCGATTCATCCCCTCAGCCCCTCCCCAGTTTCATTAGTGAATGATTTATTGTAGGTATGTGGTAACTGCAACCACAGAGCCCTTCTAAGCATTACTTTCAAAGACAATCAACAGAGTTGGAGAGACAGCTCAGTAGGTAAGGAGATCGCCTTGCAAGTACAAGGACCTGAGTTCAATCACCAGCACCCACACTTTTTAAAAGCTGGGCCTTGTGGATGGATTGGGTACATGCTTGTGATCCTAGATCTGAGATGATGGAGACAAATGGATGCCTGTGGGCAAGGTGGCCAGCCAGCCTAGCCTCATCAGCTAGCCCCAGACCAATGAGAAACCCTGTCTCAAAAAAGGTGGTCCAGGCATGAAGAGCGGTACTAGATGTTGTCCTCTGACCTCCATTAGCATGCACACACATGTACCCTCCCCAGAGACACAGACGTGACCAAATAAACAAACATTCACATTAGATAAAAAGGAATTCAGAGACATAAATATTACAATTTAAGAACTAAGTTCTTATATTTAAATAAGATGATTATGACAGTCATAAGACTATTAGACATCAGAAAAATACATATATATATGTATCTTCTGTACATTCTAATGAGACTTCATATAAATCATAAATTATAAAACCTTGTACAAATGTTTGTGAAAAAAAGTCAGTTTCCTATGACTATAACATTATTTCAAGTTGACACAAATGAAGAAACATAAAACTTATCACTACTGGGGGTTGGAAAGATACTTCGGACACCAAGTGCTTGCCATGTAACATGAAGACCTGAGTAAAGACCCTAGGACCCATGTAAAAGCCAGGCACACCAGCGAGGATCCAGAACCCTAGAGCTGGGGGTGGGGTGGGGTGGACAAGGAGGGCTGGCAGAGGCTTGGAGCTCACTGGCCTGCCAGCCGAGACAAATCAGTGAATTCCATAGTCAGAGAATGACCCTGCCTTAAAAACTAAGGTGAAGAAAAGAAAGACAGGGGGTGGGGGAGGAGAGGAAGGAGTGGGGGAGGAGAGGAAGGAGGAAGGAGTGACCTGGGAGGAGAGGAAGGAGGAAGGAGAGGAGAGGAGGAAGGAAGGAGTGACCTGGGAGGAGAGGAAGGAGGAAGGAGAGGAGAGGAGGAAGGAAGGAGTGACCTGGGAGGTGGTGAAGGGGGAGGTCTGTGAATATGATCAAGATACACTGTATGAAATTCTCAAAGACTTAAAATATTACTCAAAAAGAAAGGGTATAAAACACTTTCTAAATTTTCTAAACTCCATCTCAACTTTATTCTCAATTGTTTCAACTCCATCTAGTTTCTCATCCATCAAACATTTACATTAGTTATATCAAAAAATTACAGCTATTAAAAATAAATGCTAAGGGAAAACTAATATTTTAACAGTGAACAGTATAAAAGTTACTCTTTCAGATGATAGTTGTGTAAACGATTAAAAGATGAAAATTCATCCTGCAACATTATTTAAAAAAAACCTAACTACAGGCCATTAAGAGTGTAACCTAGAAAACTTTACACCAGAATCCTAGTCCTCATTTATTGGCTGGAGCTCATTTTACAGCACTCTGAAGCCATGCTGTAGTGAAGTTCAGAGCAGTAAATATCTGAGAAAAGAAGAAACTCCGGTAAGGACCTAGTTCAGAAAGTTCTAGAAACCAGAGCCTTCAGAAAATGTTGTTTGAGTTGTTTAAAGTATGTAAACAGATTAAATGTACACGAGCTGTATTTTTAAATTAAATTCAAAGAAAGTAAGAGCCTTCACAGGGCAGTATCTGAATTAATTTGTAAAAAGCAAAGCTTAAGTATAGACAGAGAAAACTTACATTATCAACCACAAGGAAAAACTATGTAATGTCATTTTCAAGAAAATGGATGGAGCTAGAGATCACTGTTACATAAGTCACACACAGAAAGACAAGCGTCACAAGTTTTTCACGCACACATAAAAATTAGAATTAAAGGAGGTCATTTTGCACAAATACATAGAACAAAATGGCAGAGGCATGCATAGAACCACTGCAGAAACGTTTGGAAATTCTGTTCTAATCCCAAGCCAAAATGCAAAGCAAAACTTAAACTAATGCAAAACTTAAGTGATTTTTTTAAAAAATGAAACAAGTCAGCAACTCCAAGAGCAATTTTTAGAATTGGAGACTAAACAACCAAATCAGATAAAGGAAAAATGGGTCAGTAAGTGTGCCTTTGCCCTACAGAAGACCCATACAGGAAGCTAAATATAAAATTGGGTACAAAGAGAATTAAAATAAGCAACAAATATATTCATAAAGGCAACTGTCACAAATGCTCTCAATATAAAGCAACTCATTCTCCAAGGTCAGACCAGCCACTGCTCAAGTGTAGCGGTTTCAGAGGCTTTTAAACACGGAAGCCCAGGCTCTTGGCTTCCAAGACCTATTCTTCTCCTGGGGAAAGCCCAGTTCCTCAAGAGAGAAGAGTAAATATGGTCTAGAGTCCCCATCATTTAACAGGAGAGCCTGGAGCATAACTAACTTAATCCTGGGTGCATTCTCCACCACCCTTTCCCAGCTTGCTGTGACTGAAGAAAACACAGCTTCTTTCACTCTTAACCAGAACCATGTATCTGTAAGCCTCGGGCACAGCTGCTTACACATTTTCTATTCACAGCCTCTTTTTGCCAAAGAAATTGTCATAAAACCTATGTACATAAAATAAATGTAAAAAGGCCGGGCGGTGGTGGTGCACACACCTTTAATCCCAGCACTCGGAGAGGCAGAGGCAAGTGGATCTCTGTGAGTTCGAGGCCAGCCTGATCTACAGAATGAGTTCTAGGAAAGGCGCAAAGCTACACAGAGAAACCCTGTCTCGAAAAACCAAAACAATCATTAATAACAAATCATAAAGAAAACACACACATAATCTTACCATTTATTAAAGATGAGGGGGCTGAGGAGATGGTTCAATGGTGAGAGCAGAAGTTTCAATCCCCAGAACCCATGTAAATGCCAGGTAGGTAGGACAGCCTGCCTCTGATTCCAGCCTCAGGGGCAGAGAGAGTATCCCCAGAGCAAGTCGGCTGGAGAAACCAGCTATACTAATGAGCTCTAGGTTTGACTGAGAGATCCTGCCTTAGTGAATAAGGTAGAAGAATGGAGGATTCCTGATGTCGTCTCAGACCTCCACATGCACGGATCATATTCACACACACAAATGGAAACAGGTTAAAACAAATTTGCATACTAATGAAATGAATGTAATTGCTTATTTTTTTACATAAAGAATTCAATATTGGCTTAATATTTGATACTAACTTTTTCAGAGTTGATTAAAATCTGATTTTATAATCGTCAGTGCTGTTCCTATAAGGGCAGAAAGCTTTGTATGTAGAGTAAAAACATGACAATTCACAAGACACAATAGTCCCGAATTTGAGCTGAGGTGTTTGGGACAGCAGTTTTTTGGAGTCACATGGTGCCACAGCACACACAGTACAGCTGTGCATTCAAACCAAGGCTGCAGTGAAGCTCCACAATTCAACACACCGTGGATCATTTATCTGATGTTTTAAATTCCTATTTGATTGTTACACAGTCAGAATGCTTTTACTGTTGTGAAATTTTCATATGACCCTCCCCTTTCATTTGGGCTAACCCATATGAGGTTGAGATTCACAATTTAAAACACTAGCCGGGCGGTGGTGGCGCACGCCTTTAATCCCAGCACTCGGGAGGCAGAGCCAGGCGGATCTCTGTGAGTTCGAGGCCAGCCTGGTCTCCAAAGCGAGTTCCAGGAAAGGCGCAAAGCTACACAGAGAAACCCTGTCTCGAAAAACCAAAAAAAAAAAAACAAAAAAACGCTAGCCCTTCGAAACGAAAAAAGGACAGCACTGGAAATACTTAAAATTTATTTTATTATATTTATATGTGTGTGTACGTGCTATACACTAATGTATATTAAATATGGAGATTAGAGGACAGCTTGTAGGACTCAGTTCCTCCTTCTACCATGTGGGGCCTCAGGAATCAAACTCGGGTCATAAGGCTTTGTGGCAAGTGCCTTTACCCACTGAGCCATTTTACTGGCCCTAGAAAATGCACCTTAGCTGGAAGTCAACATTCAGAAACAAACACAATTTTTTTCCAGAGATGGAAAAATTAAAACTTCCTATCCTCATTCACTGTCCAATGTTAGATGTTTTTCTAATTGTAACATTATAATATACAAGTCTTCATTATGAATTAATATATGCAATACAGACATAAACGTATACTCATGTACATAGGTTTTGGTTTTTGTCCTTTTTTTGTTTTTAAATAATGTACCAATGACCGGGCTATGGCAGCTGCTGAGAAGAAACAGCTCCCATGCATAAATCACAGGGTTTCTCTAGCCCATTTTATCCACTAGAAAGCTGTACCTACACAACAGCCTCCAGCAACCACAGGGCATAGCTTCTAAAACATAATTTTGGGAGTGACACAACCCGAAATCCAAGCACAGCTCAAGCCGTAGACTAGTGTCTCCATGACATCAGATGGTCCTGTCTGCTTGAATAGCTGCCCCTCTCTTCTCACTTACTGTGAGTCTCTTCTAGGGCCAGCTTTATCTTTTTCATCTCACTTCCACAGATAAAGCTTTTGGGGGTCTTAAGGAGGAAGCCCTAGAGTGTAGGGAAAACTGACAGGCTCTGAGCAAATCTGTGCATTCCTGACAACACCCTGCCATTCTGCCCTCATCTGTCAAGAGAGAAAGAATGTTTAATGTTTCTTGAATGGATTGTCTTCATGGAAAGGTGCCCCAAATTTGGGGTTGAGACACCAGCTCAGAGCACTTGCTATTTGTGCAGAGGACCCAGGTCTGGTCCCTAGCACCCAAATGGCAGCTCACAACTGTCTGTAACTGCAGTTTCAGATCAGGTTTCCTTTTCTTATTTGAGGGTACCATGCATGCCTGTGATACACATACATACACATAGGCAAAAATAGTCACAGAAAGTAAAAAAAACGCAAATGATGATCGAGTAAGTCTAAATGTTATTGATCACAATAAAGATAGACTAATCTCATCCACTGAAAGGCCTAACAATTGCAGCAGCTGCGCTTATTGGGTATTTACTGTGCTTTATACATTAACTACATTAACCCTCATACCAAATACAACATAGATCTTCACCTGCCTTTTATAAATCAGTAAAGTGAGGCTAATAAAGTCACTGTTGTGCTGTGAATAACAATGGCCCCTGGTGGCTCATATATTTGAATGCTTAGTTACCAAAGAGTAGCACTACTTGAAAGGATTAAAAGGATTAAGAGGTGTGGTCTTGTTGGAGGACCTAAGTCACTGGGGGTGTGCTTTCAGGTTTCAAAAGTCCATGCCAAGCCCAGAGTCTCTCTCTGTGTGCCTACAAATCAGGATGTAGTTTTCAGCGATTGCTCCAGTGTCTGCCTGCATGCCAACATGCCTCCTGCTATGACACTAATGGTCTAAACCTCTGAAACTGTAGGCAAACCCCAAATTCAATGCTTTCTTTTATAACAGTTGCTTTGGTCATGGTGTCTCTTCAGAGCAATAGAACAGTGACTAAGACAGTCAGTCACCAGTGGTACCTGGCAGAGCTGATCCTGAAATTACAGAAGTCTAGTTTTAGAGGCTATAATATAGACTGGTAGGTTAGGAGAAATTGAAATCTGTCAAATAGCACATGAAATGTTTCCATATTAACTGTGATATTTTTCATCTTGCTACAGTGTTTTTTTTTTTTGTTTGTTTTTGTTTTTGTTTTTCCTATCTTTCTCCTCTGCCTCTAATCCATCTGCTCAGCCTCCATAGCAATTGTTCGCAACTTGTGGATCCTTTGGCGGTTGAGTGATCCTTTCACGGGGATTGCCTAAGTCCATCAGAAAACACAAATATTGCCGGGCAGTAGTGGCACACACCTTTAATCCAAGCACTTGGAACGCAGAAGCAGGCAGATCTCTGTGAATTCGAGGGGAGAGACAGAGAGAGAGGGAGGGAGGACATAGATGTTTACATTACGATTCATAGCAGTGGCAAAATTAGTTATGAAGTAGCAATAAAAATAATTTGATGGTTGGGGGTCACCACAACATGAGGAACTGTATTAAAAGTTAGGTCTTGGCGTTAGGAAAGTTGAGAATCACTCCTCTATAGCCTTTCTAAATGGACACAAACTATATTATGTTCACTTCTCTGAACTCTGCTTTTCTTTCAGAAAAACTAGGCACCTCTCCCAAAGAACAGGCATGAAACTAACTCTTCCAAATGAACTACTGTTGTGACAGTGTAAGGTCTGCATGTAACACAACCTCTTCAACCATCTTCTGTTTGGTTCATACTCAAGTTAGGAGGCAGGTGCTGGGACTATGGGGCACAGCCTTCCTTATCATTTTTCCACCAACTTAAAAGTTTGGTTTACATTTCCTGGCAGAATGTTTTACATACATTGATTTTCAATCATTACAGTACTCGCAGGATGTAGGTACAGTCCCATTTTGTCAGTGGTAAACTGAATTGTCAACAAGTAGTTGGGTCTAAACTTCCGGTTCTAAATTTCTGCCCTGTCTTGAAAGTATGTACTTTCACCTTCAGTGGACTGTTCTTCACAACATCCAGGCTTGGCTACTGAGGTTCAATTTTCTGTTAGTTCTGTTAGCCATCCCTGGAGCTTTAGACCTTACCTAAGTACCTGGTAAATTCAGAAAAACTTCCGGCTGAACAGCTCACTCTCAGGCAGGGGCCAGGGAAAAACGAGGTCCTTTTCTCTCTCAGATGTATATGTCCGGCAATCTCACTGGTGAGACTCTGAGCTGGCAGAAGCCTAGACCAACAGGAAATCAGGAAACATCAAGGTGGGAAGTGGGACGGAAATGCAATCAAGAAAATGGGCACGACTCACCCGCCCCCATCAAGGAAAAGAGACACTCACCCGCAGATTACAACACTCCGAACCGCCAGGACCCTTAAACTCCTTGCAGAAGATAACACGTGTTCCGCTCGCAGAACTCGCGGCTCACTGAACCACAGCCTCCGCTACAGAGCCAATCAGGAGGTTCTGCGTCATCACCAGGCGCCAGACACAGGCAAAGGCCCTGCGAAAGCAAGTCCGGCGAGCCCCACCGATGCCATGGTAACTGGGCAATGCGAGCTGCCTGCGCAATGCCTCCTGGGAGGAGTAGTTCCGGAATGTCCGACCCCTGTCTAACTGGTAGGTGGTGGAACCACAACTCCCAGCACCACCCGAAAGCTGCCTGGGAGGAGGAGCAATTGTCACTGTTGTGGCCGAAGTCTAGGCCTGAGCCTGAAAAAATGCTGCTGGCGTCCCAGGAAAGGTCCTCAAAGAAGAGGATGGAGCTGAGTCGCTGGAAACGGATCTCAAGGAAGCTGAATCCCAAGGTGATCCCAATCGGAAGCTTTGAGGAACCTGGGCCAGCCCCAGGCGCCATACAGTCGTGAAGCCAGCCGCTTCCCGCCCTGCGCTTCCTCACTCTTCCCCCGGGGGCATCCTTACCTGGCCTTTACTGCCCTAGAGCCAGCACAGCCCTGAAAGGCGTGGTTCTAAGAGACTTAGGGTCTGTGTACTCACAACTCTGGTGGGCAGTAACCTGTAAAGATTGTTCCCATCTAAGCGGAGAGGTCTACTGGTGCCCATTAGGGTGAGGGGGAATTTGCCCCTAATCCCTACCTCTTACACCAATTTTAGGATACTTTCCGCATATTTCTCCGCCCCCTCCCCCCTTTCAAATCTTAGGCAAGGGATCTTTGAAAGGAAAAAAAAAACACACACACACACATTAAATTCTCTGCTAGTATCTCTTACATCCTCCCCTTTCCAATTTTACATCAGATAGTGAAAATAAACCCAGAAGTCCAAGTTGTTATATCTCAGTCCTTTATCTTTATGGTTATTTCTAAATCCCACCAGCATTCAAAGATAGATACTTCCTTTATCTGTTACCTCTTCTGTGCACTAGCTCCTGAAGCATGGGGAAAAAACGAAAAAGAAAAGAAAAAAAGAAACCCACAATGCCGTTTTAAACTAGGAACATACAAAAGTGACATGTGCAAAGTCACAGCCTACCAAGTGTGCCTTCCAGAATACCTCTTTAACAGTCACAAAAATAAATACTTTAAATGTAAATGAGAGTATTAAAAAAAAACAAAAACAAAAACAGAGGATTCAACTTTCAGCTCAGAGCAGCGTCACCTGCTGTTTTCACCCCTCGGTTATACTTTCCTTTAAAAAGAAAAACCGTCCTCCAGATGTGTGGCTTTTGTGGGGGCCCCAGGCAATCATTCTTGTGGGTTATCCTAAATATAGAAATTCTGGACACGGGGCACATTCCACTTACTGAAATCATGCTCCTGATACTAGAGGGCATAGGCTAGAGCATTAGAGTGGAAACTGAGGTTGCTCCAACTCCAAAGTATCAGTTGCATAATAGATGGGGCCCAAAATAGCCTATGAATATAGATTTGATGATGAAAGGTAAAAAATTTGGGACAGCTTAGAACTACAAAAAGAGGGATTTTTTTTCTTTTTCTTTTTTTGCTGATAGCGCTCATTATTACTGTCTAGAGGATAAAGAAAGTAAAAACACAAGAGTGCCTTGCAATTCAACTGTTTGAATAGGATCAGCTCTTTCTTTGTTGCAGCGGCAACGTTATTCAGCAGAACAGCTGCATTAATTGTGTGTAAGGTGAGCTGAAGGTGAGGTGTTAGGTAAGTGAAGGAGAATATTATGCCTTTCCCACCAACTTCTATGTGCCAATTAGTTTACTGTCCCATCATTTTTATTTTTAAAGACCTGAATTTTTCTCCAAAGCAAATACCCCTGTTTGCTCAATGGTTATTAGAGTTCTGTCAACTTCTGGGAGTCACAGGGAATAGAGAGGAGGCTCCTTGAGGTCTGATTTCTCATTTCAGATTAATATCTCATCTGGGTAAAGATTAATTTTCTTCATTATATGCTTGGTGCAACAGTAGAACTTGAATAATATAATTCTGTCCTATACCCCCCAACTCTTGTTGGACCAAACATTATCTCAGGTATAAGAAGGACAAGAAGGCACCTGGCTACTTCTGCAAACAGGAAAGAAAGGACCAGAACAGTCTTTAAGCAGAAAATTACAGAGTGAGGTGAATTCACCAGTGTTAGTATGGGTTTCACGAGAAGTATTACATCTAGTATTTCTGTACATTGACTCTTAGCCCTGGAGAACTTTAAAAAAAAAAAAAAGTACTGATGCCTAGACTGCTGATCAGTTACATTCCAGTCTCAGGGTGGGCTAGACAAGAAGTAATAAGGGTGTCCCAGACAAGACTTCCTGTTTCTTCTACTGTGGTTTAGTGAGCTTTCATTGCTAGTTAGTGCTGAACTTGCCAATGAGAAGTCTGGAAGAAAGGATAAATGATATCTTTCTATATGCCTTAGTGGGAAAGACTGCTTAAAATAGTAATGTTGATAAAGCGATTGCTATGCATTGATACTTTGTATCTATTTTCTACAGTCTGCGTTTGATCCTGACAATGTGGGGCACTGGATTAAGGTAAGGCATTTCAAATTCAGGGTAGAAAGAGCTGTGAGAATCACACATACTGACAGATCTCCAATGTGCATGTGCATGACTGTTGTTATTCTCGTGTTATATATGTTACCTCCGTTTTATACTTTTTTACATCTTTTATTATTCTGTTGGTTTTCATGAGAGATCTTAAATACAAATGATGAGAAAACACGTGGATAGATATGCCTTTCATCTGGCACGGGTATCACATAAAGAGGCCAAAGGAAAGAGAGGAATTGGGAGAGAATGTTGTAGCCTTCTTCAGACACAGGGAAGACTATTCTGTAGTTACTTTAGTATGGGGACCCATTGGCGAAAGCTACATGGCTATCACCAGAATTCTCTGTCTAGAACAATCCAAAAATGGAATGAGAGTTTTCATAAAGAGGCATGTATTCCATCCCTGGGAGAACTGGAGTAAACTCTAAATTTTCACTTAATGTTCAACTAATAAAGAATATATTTGAACATCCATTGGGAGGGAGTTGGGTTAGATAACCCCCATAGAAACTGTCGTTACAAATGACTTCCTGACCTATGATCTCTTCCAGTCATGAAATGTTTATTTAGGTACCATTTGAATTGAAAGTGCCTTTCAAACACTTCAGGGGCATACCTCTGAGTGTCAACTTAGCAATCCATTGTAATCAGTTTATTTGTATAGCACGTAGTTCAAAATCATGTGGTATTTTCCTGAGAGAATATTCTATTTGATAGTATTTTGAACAAATGTTATATCTAAGTTGACAGGCATTGTGGGCACCAGGCCAGATAGATCCCAGGCTAACTGTAATATTTTCTTTAGCTATTTATTCATTTTGCTGTCATTTGTTAAGTGCCTACCAAATACAAGCTCAGTATGTTGAGTACCAGAGCTAAAATGAGACATGGGCCAGAGTTTATATCCCAGTGGAGCATAAATACCCTCCTTAGAGCTGATAAGAGAATTAGAGGTATAAGGGAAGTATATGGTGGGAGGCATTAATGTAGATGGGGCTAGAGAAGACTTCCTGGCCACTGCAGGAGCCCTATCTCAAAAGAATGCTGAAAGAGATCACATCGTGAATGCCAGTCCCTGGAAGATCACTTAACCTCTAGTAAACCTAGCTTGCACGTTAGTGTCCAGAGTCCCAGTATTGAGTTCCTGCAGGACTTAATCACTCACTTACTTACCACCTCTTTCAGAGGGGGAGATTTAATGAGAACTCAAGGATAAAATTCCATTTTGTCTTGTTTCTATGATTTTCCTCCTTCATACAGCTGTCAGCAAGCTGGACTCAGAGGTTCATCATTCCTCTAAATCTTCTGTGCTGGCTTTTTCTCTATCCTGCCTTCAAATTTCCCATCTTGAAAAATCAATAAGTTCTTATATGACCCTGCAGTCTTTTCTGATTATAGAATGATTTTATTTTCTTATCTGATATCTACCAATATATATAGCATAGACTCTTGGCTTTTATACTTTCATTATTCTCTCTTGTCATAATTATTATTGCTTACTTTCTGTTTCTGTAACACACACACACACACACACACACACACACACACACACAGAGTCCATTTTTTTCACTTTCCATTTCACAGAAACTGTTACTAGAAATGACTTCCTCACCAAATCCAGTCATCTTCTGATAGCCATCAAACGTCTCCAGTTTAATTTGATAGCTTTGGCATCTGTATTTTAGACACCCTCGATTCCATTATCTAAGTCCATTGGACTGTTTTCTCTTGCTTCTCCTATTACCTCTCTGTTCTCTGCCTTTTTTTCTTTCTGATTTTATTCCATAATAACTCTGGGTATACCCCAAATAGTTGCCGTCTTTTCTCCTAAAACTTCTAAATCCACTGGAGTGGCCTACCCTTTCAAAACCAGTGAGACTTTGTTCAGGGGGAGGATGGTGAATATAGAGAAAGGCCTCTCTTGAGAACAGAAAAGGAAGGTTGCTCAGTTGTGTCATGGATTTAGCTGAAGTAAGTAACCATAATTTTTATGGTACAAAGAAAATTGGTAGATTAAATGGATCCAAGCGTGGGATTATCACTGCAAAAGTAAAGGGACGGGGGTTTGGGAATAAGACAGTAGCTGCATGTCCACATGAGTGGGAAGGAAGAGAAGGTACACTCTTTCAAAGTCTTACAGATTTGGAGGAGAGAATGGCTTGCAATGACTAAAAGATGTGATTGGGTCCAACTTCAGTGTTGTGGGAGAAGAGGAATGAAACGTGGAAATGGAATGATGATGGTGGAGAGGTGGTTAGCAAGATTTGGTTCAAGTAATGAAACATCCTGTACAGCATGGTGCAGGTGAGGTGGGTTGCTAAAATAGAATTGTGGGAAAGCTGACAAGCATCCACAAAGATGGAAAAGTCACTTAGAATCAGGCAGGTGCATGGCCAGCACTAAATGCTGTACTCCATGGTTTACAATTCATCTTTATCCTGTCTGGCTCATCTTTCTCCAGTACCTCCTCCTGCTTGATTGAGCTTTCTAAACATGGGTTCTGTGTGCTGCTGGATGAAACTGTCTCTTCCAGGTGGGCATCTCAGGTCCTCTGTCAGTCAGACTATATCAGTTTATCTGAAACAGCCCATATTCTGACACTCTGCATGCCTCCTCTCCCCCCAGGTCTTTCTCCTTCCCCTCTGTCAAGCAGGTACTTCCTTTGCTTTGTTCCTGCTGATGCCCCAGCCTGGGATATCTGTCATCTCTGAGACCTGATCTAGATACTCTCCATACAATTCAGCTTTAGATGCCACACACCCACTTCAGCAACCTAACCCCATCCCTGAATAGTTTCCTTTAGAATTATGTTACACACGTTTATTAATAAAATGTCAAATACTTGATTTTTATAAAGAGTGACTTTTAACAGAGTTGGCACTTTCAAAACTATATAAAACATACATATATGAGGATGTGTTAAACTCCTGTTTGAATCATCTAATCTTAAGGAAATGAAGGGTCATGTTGTGGCCTCCATTTCCGCCATCTGTGATGATCTGTGGGATATGAAGAATATGCACAAGGCTATAGGAATATCTGAAATAGTATTTTGTAAAGGAGCTTTCATGGAACATAGTTACTAATAAGCTTCTTTTTAGGGCTGGAGAGATGGCTCAGTCATTAAAGTGTGTGTCTTGTAAGCATGAGAACCTGAGTTAGATTGCCAGAATCCATATAAAAGGCCAGACATGCTGGCCTTGTAATTCCAGCTGGGGAAGCAGAGACAGGTGGACCCTAGGGAACCTCTGGCCATCCAGCATAGCCTCATTGGTGGCTCCAAGCCAGTGAAGGAAGAACAATACCCAAGGTTGTCCTCTGTCCTACACACTCAGGTACATACACACTCACACAAACACACACACACACACACACACACACACACACACACACACACACACACAGAGCTTATTTTTAAATCACTCTGTCTTACTTTAGAACCGCTCTTGAATGGCTTACTATGCAGATGGCGTGTGGAACCAAAAGCAAAAATTTGAACTTTCTAAGAATGAAACATTTACGTTTGTTTTCCTGTAATGTTCACTAGGTTGCTGGGAACAGAGCTAGTCTCCCACCCAGACTTAATGAAAGAACAAGATGATAAATGGACACAAGTTACTGAGATGTAGACTAGACCCCTCTTAGCTCTTATGAATTCATTCAGGGGGCGGGGGATAATATTTGAAGACAAGGTCCTCAAAACATTATTCTAATCCTTAGTATTGTCTAGTGGGTATTTTAAACACTTGCTTTGTTAGAACTGAACAAAGGTTTCTTCTCATTCAGTTGTCATTTCCAGACCCTTTACCTATACTTCCTGAGCTCTCTACCATCTTCTATTAAGAACCTATCCAAGGGCTGGAGAGATGGCCCGTGGGGCAAAGGCACTTGTCACCTAGCCTTAACCACCTGAGTTTGTTTCCTGGGACCCCATTGTGGGAGGAGAGAACTGACTCCTGCAAGTTATCCTTTGACATCCGTCCATACATGTAAATAAAAATAAAATAAATGTATCTGATAGAAAGTTTTTTAAACCTATGGAAATTTTCAAAGAAATGACATATCATGTGGTTATCTCTTGTGTTCATAGTCTAAAGAATTAAATCAAGTCTATAAATCTGTTGTTTCTTTGTCTTTTATGTTAGCTTAAAAATTAAAGTTGATAACTTTATCTGTGTTTTTTTGCACATGTGTGTATAGAAGCACAAGCAGTATTTATAAAGTCATTTTTCTTAGAACTCAGGAACCTAAAGGGTAGACCTATGCCAACGGAATCATAATCAATGCACTCACCAGTTTGTGCCATAACATACATCCAGATAGCCATGGACTCGGAGAAGTAGCATGGGAAACCGTCTCTGTAGAGTGACCTGGTGTCTCTAACTCAACTCTGAAGGAAACAGTGGGAACAGTCTCTGTACAGTGACCTGGTGTCTCTAACTCAACTCTGAGGGAGTAGGGTTTTGTTTTTCTATCTTATACCACTCCTGTTCCCACCTCCAGCCCCTCCTATGTCCAGATTTTATCCTTGACTTTGAAACTTTACTCTTCTGCTGACATCCGAAACCTAACACAGGCAACTCACCCTATGGCAAGTTTTTGCAAAGATTTTGCCCAAGCTTTCCACCAAGGGCAAGAGGCAAGGTCATTTCCAAACTAGGTCAGGAATGCTGTAAGCATGGTAGTGCAGCATCTTTGAGTAAATCTCTAAGTTACTTCTTCCTTTACCAAATGTTTCTTGGGCACTGACCGAGTCCTAGCAAGAATCTGATTGCTAGGGCTTCATGTGAAAAAGAAGACAATTTCTGCTGATGTTCTATCTGGAGGCTAAAATAGAGAAGGTGTATTGTAAAATGATAAAAGATACAGAGTCAGAGGAGAGACAGAGGAGAATCAAGAGGAGGAGGTTACAGGGTTGTAGAGAAGACCTGCTGGGAAGGTGCCTTTGAGCAGATCCTGGAGTGATCTTGGTATTGGTGAGGGAGGTGTGCAGACAGGGCTTGCCATTACTGAGGCCTTGATGCGGTAACACCCCTGGAGTATAGTATTTGAGAATGGACGTACAAAGGGGTCAGTGTGGTTGACACTAAGTGAGCTGGTGAGACGGAGAGCTAGCTCACAAAGGGGTTAGGGGCTCAGGACCTTGAAGCACACTGTAAGGACTTACCTTAATTCTAAGGAAATACTTAGGTGTTTTATGATATGGCTTCCATTGAAAGCGACCATTTGCTGCTGTAAAGGCTGTTGCAGAAAAGCTGTTAGGAAACTGTCATTCCTTGGACTGAGGTAACAGCTGTGGGGATGATGTGAAGGGGTCAGTTTATGAATATATTTTGAAAATAGAGTCAAAATGTGTATGAGGAGGGGGGAAGGAAGGAGAGAGAACAAGCAAGGAAGAGAAAGGGAGGGAGGGAAGGAGGGAGGGAGAGGCAGAGAGACCGACTTTGGGTTATGGAGACTCCAGAGTTTTCACCTGAAGAACTAACTCATGAGTTGCCGTTTGTCAGGGCTAGTCTGAAGAGTGAGCGCTCAGTAAGGACAAGTGAATGCAGGTTCCTGGGGACACAGACGCAGGGGTTCGCCTGCCAAGTAAAATGTGCCCTACTCTGTCCAAAGTCCAAGATGCTCTGCTCAGCTCCGTCATTCCTTTCCCCGATCCCATGAATTTGGTCATGTCCTTATTAAACTTTTGTTGAGTTAAAACAGTCCAGGTGACCACAGTGGTGGCTGTCTATCTCAATTTTATTGAACCTGTGGTTTGTCTAATACACAGTGGTGGTCCCTGTTAGCTATAGTAATTTGAGGAGTCAGCCTGTGGTTCCTGTTTACTTACAAGTTCCAGTGGCACAGAAATTGATATCAGATGTTTGTTCCAAATTAAGTATTCAGGATTCAGGATCCCATTGCCTATGCCTTAAACAAAAGTTACCCAAAGGGGGACAAAAGAGGTAATAGGATGTGATTAAAGCATGTTACATATGTGTAAATGTGTCATAATGAAACCACTCTTTTTGACAATTAATACATGCTAATAAAAATAAATATTCATCTTATTTATTTAGTGTGTGTGTGTGTGTGTGTGTGTGTGTGTGTGTGTGTGTGTGTAGGCAGATTACATGTATGTGTATAGGTATAGTGGCACATGTGTGGAGGTCAGTTCTCTCCTGCCACCTTGTGGGGTGTGGGGATGAAGCTCAGGTCGTTAGGCCTGTGTGCCAGCACCTCAAATCAACCCTGTTTTCCACTTAGCTAAGCCTAAACAACATTCTTATAAACACCGGGAATGCTGGCTAGAACTGGATGAGCTGCTTCGATTAATTTGACATTACATACAAAACTAAAATTGCCTAGCGTTCCAACCAGAATGGGAAAATTAAAGAATTGTACTAGTTGTTAGAAAAGCAGCTTCTGGAATTCTGTAGCCATGAACAGGTTATTATCATCTGATGAATTTCTTTCTTTTTTTTTTCCTGTTATTTTGAAGAGAGTAGAGAAAGCTTCAGAATTTGCCATTTCAAATACATATTCTGCCAGAAATGCAGATTTACCTGGAAGGCTGTGGCGACATGCAGTAGATCTGGGGACATGCGAGCAAACAGAGTATCATGATGATGTCTACGAAGAAGGTGAGAGGGTGCATTTGCTGGTGTGAGGATGCATTTGCTGGTGTGAGGATGCATTTGCTGGTGTAAGGATGCATTTGCTGGTGTGCGGATGCATTTGCTGGTGTGAGGGTGCATTTGCTGGTGTGAGGATGCATTTGCTGGTGTGATGTTAGCAGTTCTTAAAGCATGACTCAGCACTCACTGCAAAGCGTGGAGTGAGAGCTGCTCTTACCCTCGCTCTGAACCTTTGCTTCTCTACTGCTCTGAAGCTGCTTATTCTGGAGTTAACTCCATTACTACATATAAGGCCATCTGTAAATGCTGTGTGTGTGTGTGTGTGTGTGTGTGTGTGTGTGTGTGTGTGTGTGTGTGTCTGTGTGTCTGTGTCTGTGTGTCTGTGTCTTCATCCTGGTGTCTGCAAGTTTATGAAGATCCTGGAGGAGGCCAAAGGCAATTAGGTTCCCTGGAGCTGGAGACACAGGTGCTTGTGAGCCGCCTGGTGTGGGTGTTAGGAACTGAACTTGGGTCTCTTGCAAGAGCAATCTATACTTTTAACTCTGAGCCATCTCCCCACCCCACAAGGCTGTATTTAAAGCCCACATTGTTTCTTAAATTTGAAGCAGCCACTGGCAGAAGCAGTTTGATATAATAGTTGACTGGAGAGTGGTGTAAGGTATTGGTCCTATGGCACAGACGGTGGCATATTAATTTGATCTGGTAGTCTACTGATGAATAGACCTTGAGTTTATAAACCAGTTTAGTTCCTTGTAAAGAGGCTCTAAAACCATTTTAACTTCCTTGCTCCCTCAAAACTCCCTTAGTTTGCAATTCAACATCTTGATTACTGAGTTACTGAAGAACTGTACCACCTAGGGATTCAAGAGATTCAAGAGGGTGGAACCTGCAAAGGAGACCGGGAAGGAGCATCTCCAGGGAAGCAGGGAAGTCAGAGTACTGTGCCCTGCAAGCCAGCTTCTGTTTGGATTATTTATGTCCCCAGTTATTTCATTTATCTCTTCATTTATTCAATGCATGCATATTAAAATCTTGCTCCACTATATTAGGTGCTAGAAGTTTTGATTATGAACAAGGAAAGCAAAGCTGTGCTTTCATGGAATAAGCACTCTAGTGTGGGAATGAAAAGAATTAAAAACAAATTATCAGGTAGTGATCTATTCAAAGCATCCCAGCTGGAGGGCAAGGTGGTGTCAAGAGCTTAAGGTGTAGACAAGCTTGAAGTACATGAGGAGCTGAAGGAAAGCCTCTGAGCTGGTGCTTCCAGTAGACATGAGCATGAAGGAGTGAGCAGGAGACCCATCACATAGGGCATTTTTGGCCTAGGCAGGAACTTAGATTTTATTCTGATCATAATAGGATGGGATGGAAGTATAAGGGGCCCGTGATTTAAATATAGGAAGAATGTACTATTTCGGGGTGGGGCATGATGGGGAAAGTAAGCAGTGGGTAGCTGCTGGAGGGGTTTGGGAGAGAAGTGATAATTATTAGTCTCAGGTGGTTGATAGTTCCAGAAATATAGGAGATCTGTGCTGTAAGTCTTGCCCACCCTACCTTCCACCCAGTAGCCATACATGATAGTCTTTAAGAGCCCTCAGGAACCCCTACAGTTGAAAGAAATGTTGTCTTACTCCATTCCCCTAGCTTGCTAGCCCGTGGACATTTTTGGTGGGGAGAGGTATTTTGTCCCTACAACACCTGTTGTCCTGAGAAACTACCAGCCCAGAGCAGTCATGCTGTTGTCTGGGCAGGGCATGCTTTACAAAGGTCTGCTTTTGTTCTCTTTCTTCTGCTCCATTAATAGTCCACCATGACTAGTGCTGTGGGGAGCATACTGTGAAAATCTCTGCCTTTGCTTACCCTCTCCATCCAGTGGGAGGAGCTGTATAATATAACTTCCAAAGGAAGTGCTCTTTCTTGGTTCTTTTAGTGCTTCCTAGTAAGCCCTTACTGTGAGTGGCATTTAATAGACCCAACTGGTTTACCTACAGATTATACACATCGAGGTGCACCTTGTTGTACATGGGTTAGTAATTGTCGTATTTGTTATACTTAGTTTCTGCTCTTGTCCCCCTGAGGTACCTTCCATGACCCCCAGTGGATGCTGAAACTGTAGATCATGCCAAGCCCTACAGTATTGTGTCATATGGTTACACACTCATGATAAAATTTACTTCATAAATTAGTCACAGCAATTGATAACAAAATAATAAAACCAATTATAATGTGAATGTCATCTCTTAAAATTCCTTCTTATACTGTACTCACCGCTGTTCTTGTGATGATGTGTGACGATACGGTACCTGAGTGATGGGGTGAAGTGGGGTGATGACAAAAGCATGGGGACAGCATCAGGCTGTTATTTGAGGGCCCTGGAGCACTGTCACTACATTATTGTGACAGCAATCAGTCTAGTAACTGAGATGACAACTAATCTCTAAACTAGCAACAGATAGTGTGTCTGGTGTGCATGTGCTGGACAAAGGAATGACTCGCATCTCAGGTGGAATGGCGTAAGACAGAACACGATTTTATTATACTATTGAAACCAAGTGCAATCCAGAACTTAGTATTTCTGGAATTTTCCATGTGATGTTTTGGGACCTTAGTTGACTGAGGTAACTAAAACTGGAAAATGGAATTACAGATAAAGGGCCACTGTTATCATTTGTTTTCTTCTAGTTTATCTATACTAGACATTTCTTGACTTCAGTTAATATATAGAAATACCTAGTTAGTCAGAACGATGAGATAATAACAATAAGTAATTTAAAAACAAAAACAAAAGTCAGGCATAGTAGCATATACCTTTAATCCTAGTACTGCAGAGGCAGAGGCAGGTGGGTCTGTGAGTTCCAGGCCAGCCTGGTCTACAGAGTGAATCTCAGGTCAGCCAGAGCTACACAGTAAGATCCCCTCTCAAAAGGGGGGAGGTTCTTTTTACTCAGAAACCTACTGTGGCTTCTCATGCTTAGAGTAGTAGACCGAGTACTTAGAATGGGGTCAGGACTCTAAACAAAAGGGTTTGAGCCTCAGGACTTCTTACGTTTGTGACCAGAGTATTATTGTTGTATGGAAGCATGTGAACAGGGTGTTTAGCAGCATCCTAGCCTCGATGCATTGGATACTGTTATCACTTGCCCTCCTTGTGAAAACCAAAAATGACTGTTTCAAACGAGGGCCAAGATCCCCCTCGTTGATAACCACTGCACTCAGCCTGACCTATAAACCACCTCTTCCATCTCGTCTGTCTGTCCCTCGTTTCTCCAGCCACACTGCCCTCGGGACACTCGTGCAGTCGGGCCTGAGCTTGCTCTCCCCCTGCATGGTACAGCATTTCCTTCTGTATCCGTACAGCTCACTCACTCCCTCTTTTGCTCGGATGTCTTCTATTGACCACCCAATTTAAAACCACAACACTTTGTCTCCATCTCTTGTTCCCCTGCGTTGTTTTTATCTTGTTCATTTGTTTTGTCTTTTTCCCTTGATTAGACTGTTAGCTTCATGGTGGTAACATTTCTCTTTCCAGTTTTGTTCCCTATTATATTCCTAATACCTAAAATAGTACTTGTCACATAATGAGTGTTCAAGTAATACTGAATGAATGAATGAATAATGAATGAATGAATGAAAAAAGCAAATAGAGGAAGCCTGTAAGTCACTGAAATACTCAAAGATGTTTTTGTTCTACTGATAGCTCAGGAGCTAGTCAATGACTGGCTAGACAACAGACTTCAACAGGAATTAGCAAGTGATGGAGAAGGAGAAGGTGCCGTGCCAAGCAGCCCTCCGGGGCCAGGTGCCCATGGCCATTTGAAGTATGACAGGTTTGATGGTAAGAACTGATCTGATTCTACTAAGCGTTAACATATAATGAATGTTTCTAAGAAGTGTGTTTTATTGTTTTAAATAATAAATGATGCATTTGGCTTTTGTATGTTTGGTTTATGTTTGTGAGTTTAATTTTTCTTGATTGAGTATAAATCTCCTTTGCTATATCCTTAGTTAGTAAGCTCCTATTGCTTTTTAAAATTAAAATATTCTATTATTTATAATTTTGCCTATGAATTTATATAGCAATTAAAAGTATCTCTTGCCCATTTATCATTAGATAACTATTTACTTTGACAGAGAACACACTTAAACATTCACATATCATTTTATAATTATAAAATGCTTCTTACGTTTTGATTCATTTTCACATATAAGAGAGACTATTTCTCTTCTCAGGATTTTTCCATTCTTTTCCTCTTTTGTACAAATTGTCAGACAAATTAAATAACAGACTTCTAAGGGGTCCTCTATTGTACCTCAAGGGTTTGGGTTTTGTTTTGTCTTTTTTTTTTATTTTTGTTTTCCTCTGAGGATAGGATAACATGGTTATGGTAGGGCAGCTTTCCACACCTGATTCAGACAGGTTTGGTGAAGGCAGCTGATGGCATTCCTCTTGTTAAGACTCCACAAAAGTCCCCCGGCTAGGGCATCAGTCATGAGCTCTGAAAGCTAGAAAACTAACATCACCTAGTCTAACTGATCAGTGTCTGTAGTCATTGGGCAGACACACACTAAACCTATACTGAGTTACTGCTTCACTACTGTTCAAATGGCTTGAAGTTAAAAGACTGGGCATGCCCAGCATGGGTAAGGATGTGGAAGAGCTGGGATACTTCCACGGGACTGGTGGGATGTAAAGTCGCATTCCACTTTGGATGGCAGGTTGACAGTTTCTTAAAATGTGCCCACAGTACAGCCATTCTACAGCTTCTAGTAGAAGAAAATGGATGAAAGCCAGGCCTAAAAGCTAACACATGCTAGGGTAAGAGCTATACCACTGAGCTCTATCCTGGGGTCAGTTGAGGGCTGTTTTTAAGCAAGAGAGTTTTTGAGGTTGTTTAGGTTTTAGATCTGGCTGTGAAGAGGTTCTTAGTGACTTGGGTGAGGGCAATTCCTGATGAATGGAGCTTTGCCCTTTTATCTGAAGGTGATTCCTGAGGGTCACACTCGTCCAACTGGCATTATTAGTTCCTACTTATCAGACCATCTCAGCTTTATATTTTTCAGAATCCTTATGTAAACACAAATATTATTTTTTAATTCCTCTTTTGTTGTTTTTTTACTCCCAGATTTATGTGGCTATTTGGAGGAAGAAGAGGAGAATGCCACCACTCAGAAATTTATAGAGCATCTGCTCCATAAAGAGGTGGTGGATGCTGCAATGGTGGAAGAGCTTGGAAGGAAGGAAAACCAAGGCAAGAGGCAGCAGAAGGACCCTCGTCTTACCATGGAGATGAGACATAAGCAGGTGGGAGGGAAAACAAAATTAAAATGGATAACAGGAAGCAGTCTTTGTGTAACACATTTAATAAGCTTAAATAAAGACTTAGGCTTTATTATGAAAAGGGTGCCATCTGTGGTTTGGTAAGGAAGAATAAAAATAAAATATAAGAACTTCAGAAGAAAAATAATTCTCATAAACTGAGAGTAGGAAACAATTTATTTAAGAAATAACCAAAATTAGAATAATTGATTTTGACCAGTTGAGTACTGAACTAAACTTTATTAGTGTGAATGTGGCACTTCCGATTATAAATATGTAGATTGCATTTGCTCCAATTTGGTCTTTGAATGGTGACATTAATATATTATCATGAATATTCTGCTGGATATTATAAGGATAATTCTTTTCTAGACAACTAAATTCACTCATTTTGTGATTATAATTTGAAAAGGAGGACAGATCTGAATTAAATCTAGTTCAGCTGTTTTGAATTGGAAAGGCATATGGGAACTTTCCTTCCTCCAAAAGGAATAGTAGGTAATAGAGGAAAAGGCAATCTCTGTGTCTTGCAAAAGAGTTTTGGAAACTCAGAATGACCATGCCTTTGCCATATGACCAAGACTAAGACTGAATTGGCTCTAATGTCTACATATGTATGTGCTGTCTTTTTACAGCATTAGCTTTCTAATTACACATTTTGAAAATTCACTGTTTTAAACCATTAAAGTATGGGAATGTTGGAAAAATGGGGAGAAGTACGATTCTGGTTTGATAGAAGGAAGGAGAGAAGTTTCAGTAAGACATATGCCTATTGCCTACAAGTTTTAGCCACAACTGGAGGGTGAAAAGGAGTAAAGTTAAGAGGGGAGCCAGGAGCTGAAGACTTAGTTTTGAAGAGGATGAATGTGCTTATTTAGAATTATCCACAAAGGTCTTGTTTTTAATTTCCAAATGTGACCACAATTCCTGGTGTACTTAAATAAAGATAGATATGAGGAGAGCCTTGTAGTGTTCTTTAAGGCAGTAGATTTTATTTTATCCTGCAGAGTGTAGTCACCATAATGTATCACTGTGTTTTCCTAAATGATTGTTAAAGTACAGAGCCCAGAGGAAAGTAGTCTTCTATATACACAGGACAAGTTTGAGAATGGGAGATCATTTCTCAATAGGAATCCAAAGCTTGGGCTCTGACCCCTTCCTTGCACTCAGCTTTTCCATCACACAGGTCCTCCCAGATGCTGAGAGTCCTCTTCATCTAACTGTTTGTAGAACTTTGTATTGGTTTTCGCCCAAGAAGCAAATGAGAGGCTGGAGAGATGGCTCAGAGGTTAAGAGCACTGGCTGCTCTTCCACAGGACCTGAGTTCATTTCCCAGCAACCACATGGTGCTCACAGCCATCTATAATGAGATCTGGTGCCCTCTTCTGGCATTCAGGTATACATACAGGCAGAATACTGTGTACATAATGAATAAATAAATAAATAAATAAATCTTTAAAAAAAAAGCAAATGAACTGCTTTATTTTCCAATAAACAATGGGGTTCTGGGTGGGAATGTTTCAAACTGGTTGTGTTCTGAACTTCAAAATGTATCCTACGTGTTTGCCTATCTGTTCTACTTGTGGCTTTTCTAAGGTAAAAGAAAATCGCTTAAGACGTGAGAAACAAGTGGAGTTCCAGAGAAAGGAGAATGCCCTGAAGAAAGCAGCCTTCTTGGAGGCTCAGTGTCTAGTGCAAGAAGAGAAGAGAAGAAAGGCTCTGCTGGCCAGGAAAGAGAAGGAGGGGATTCAGAGAGAGATGGTCAAGCTGCGGAGGGAGATCCTGGAGAGAAGGCGTACCGTGGAAGAAGCATGGAAAACGTAAGCCGGTGGGATGAGCAGTGTGGAGGATGTCTGTTCTAGCAAACCTGTCAGAAATGCTGTCAGGTGTTAAAAATGTTCTAACATTGCAAACACTAAACACAAAAGAAGAGAACACAATCTTAACAAGTTACTTTTATTTCTCCATGTTTTCTCCTGATTGTGATCCCCTTACATGCTTAATTACAACCACCAAGTACATTTAATTGGTTATTCTGCTGTACCAAACATGCCTGGAGTCCTGAAATGTATGTATTATCTCACTGCATTTCTGTACCATAATGTATGATGGTCTTGACGAATATCGCTAAGCACTTTGGCTATTTAAAATATTTTGCCAGTAGGGCTAGAGATATGGCTCAGTGGTGAAAAGTACCTAATATTTTTCTGGAGGACCTGAGTTCACCTTCCAGAACCTACCTTAGGTGGCTCACAACTACTTCTTAACGTCAATACCAGGGAATCTGATTCCCGCTTCTGGCCTCCACAACCACTGCACTCACACACATAAACCCACACATAGACTCACATACACATAATTAAAAATAAAATAAATCATTTAAAAAATTTACTAATATAATAATGCAGTGGACATCTTTATCCCTAGAGCATTGTCATTCCTTTGAATTATATATAATATATATATATAATATACATATTTATGTATATTATATATATATATGTGTGTGTGTGTATGTATGTTTTGTTTTTTCAAGACATGGTTTCTCTGCATAGCTTTGACTGCCCTAGAACTTGCTTTGTAGCCCAGGCTGGCCTCGAACTTAGAAAGATTCACCTGCCTCTATCTCCCAAGTGCTGGGATTAAAGGTGTGCACCACCACTGCCCAGCCTGAGTTGTATTTTTAGGATAAATTCTTTTGAGTGTAATTAGTGGGTTAAATGGTATAGATCTTTTTGTGACTCTTAAAACATTGCCAAATTACTTTGAAAATCAGTTGTACTTGTTTACAGCGTCACCAGCTGTGGACCAGTTCACCACACTCTTCTCTGTATTGGAAGTATCATTTTCAGTATTTTTTTTCATGTTTAATAGGCATCACAGTAACTGGTTTGTATTTATTTGGTTGCATAAGATTTTTAAAGGTGTAACATATTTCCTTATTCCTTTTGTGGGGTTAGTAATTGCCCCCTGTCCTATTGTGAATTGCACTAGGGTCCTATTTTCTGATGATCATACAGCAAGTCGTTGCCTTACTAATAGAGAAGAAGACTATCTAACATAAGAGGAAAGTGACAATAACCCTCACAGGATGTAGTATGTTATCTGTCCTCATGCAGAAAATGAGCTTCACAGGTGAAGTAACTAATGTATTTATTCTGAGAAATAGCACTGATGCATGAACTGCAAAAATCTGCCAGCAACGTGACTCAAGTGTCTGAATACTCAGAGAGAGAGCCAGAGAGACACATTAGGTAATCGGTCCACCCCCATCAGCCCACACAGTGTCCCCCTGTGTTCTTGATTGCTCTCATTCTGCCCAATTTCAAACAGCTCAGCAGTGGACGTGTGCTCCTCTCCCTCAAGTGCCAGGCTCAGGCCTCCTCCAAATGCTGCTCTTTGCAGAAAGCAATCACCAGTGTTTTAGTGAGTTCTCACTAAGGTCAACTCTGTTCTTCAGACTGTTCCCAAGCCTTGAAAAAATAGGCTGACCTAAAATAAATTGTGAAAACAAGTCACATTTGATGGTAGCAGAATTCTCTGTTCAGTTCACAGTGGGCACTCAACACATGTCCACTGGCCAGTCATTTCCTATCAAAGTTAAGTCTTACCCGTGGTTACAGTGAACTTTCCAGATAGCAAATTGGCAATAAATAAAGAGTCATCAAGTGGTATTTTCCTTTGACCTGGAAATTCTAGGTCTAGGAAAATTGCCCTAAGAACTGATCAGTAATGCAAAGATTTTTATATAGTAATAACTAAAATAGCATTATTTACAGGAATAAACAACAAATGCTACAAAATTATTAGATAATGGCTGTACAGTCCAACAGATTGGCATGTTATTGTTCATTTCTGTGTGGAAATATGAATGGCTCTTCTGCCTCTCCAGTTTTCACAGTTAAACGGATACTATCTTCATGATGGCTTAGATATCCTGGTGTTATTTTAAAACTCAGACCCCTGTTCTGAAACTCTGTTATGTGTTTACTTATTGACTTCTGGTATTTGCATCTCACCAAAGGCCTTGCATTTGGAATCTGCCACTCCATCCCAAGTCCTAGAACTGTATTTATTTAATGCCCCCTCCAAGACATGACTAGACCCATCCAGTATAATATTATTACAGAACTAGTATTTTGGGAAGATCCAGTAAGGTTTTTTTGTTGATAGGTATTTTTCTTTTTTCTTATTTGTATCCTAAATCTGCTTTACAACATAAAATATTTCCTTAAAGAGATTTATCAATTACAAAAGGAAAAAACAATAGCTTTGGTGATAGAGAGATGGGTCAGCAGTTAAGTGTACTTCTTGATCTTCCAGAAGACTGGAGTTCAGTTCCCAGTACCCACATTAGAGTGTTTCCTAACCACTATAACTCCAGTTCCAGAGGATCTGGTGCCTTCGTTGAGTCTTTGAGGGCACCTGCATGCATGTGGCATAAACTAACACAGATACATAAATAAAATGAATTTTGAAAATAACAATAGACTTATACTAGATAATCAACCTTAGATAATCAGTGAATCAGGCAAGTATTAGCAATAAGTCATAATATTATGTGCCCTCATATAATACTTGAAAATGAATGACACAGTGTCTGTATTTTGGATTCTTCTCAACTTGAATTTCTACAACTGTAAAGTTCCTGAAAGTCTAGGTGATTGCCTGAGTTTTCATAGCTAATCTGGGATTCCTCACCATTTGTTCCACCTCATTAATAGTACATGGTTTATGTGTATACATCTGTAATTAACTCCAATAAAAAGACTATATTAGGAGCTGGGGGTAGCTCAGTTGGTAGAATGCTTGCCTGACATGCACAAAGCTCTGGGTCTGATCCCCAGCTCCATATAAAAGTAATGGCATATGCCTGTCACTCTCCATTTGGAAGTGGAGGCAGGAGGATCAGGAGTTCAAGGACAGCCTGGGCTACATGAGACAGTCTCTAAAAAAGGGAGGTGGTCTGGGGAATCTTATCCAAGCAAGCACACTTGAGTTGGAAAGTGAAGAGGATAGTCTGCGGGGAAAGGGGGATGAAAGCTAGGAAGAGTCTCTAGATTCTGTGCTCTCCTTAGTAATTTTTTATTCTATTAATGTTTCTTCCTGGAAAACATGTAAAAGCCCGTGATAGGAATCTCATTCCTTTTTTTACTTAAGGATCCATTTAACCCTCTAATAAGAAGAGATAGGGTCTGGGAAGATGGCTCTGGGGGGAAATACATTTCATAAGCCTGACAACCTGAGTTCAATCCCCAGAACCAACTAAAAAGCTGGGTGCTGTTAGGAGTTGTTCTGGATCCCGTAGAAAGAGACCAGCACTCCAATTGAAGTGTCTGGGCGAGACAACCTCTAATCTTGGTCAAGAAATAAGGTCTACTTAGAAGAGTGGACACACTGAACAGGAAATACATTTGGATTTTATTCTAACTCAGGTGGTGACTATGTCTTTTCCCCATTGGCTGGGGTCCAGCTTCACAATCTTATTACCCATTCAGTAAAACCTTTGTTTAAAACCTTTACACAAAAGCTTTACTGGATAGGGAGGATCAAAACATTTGCATAAAAGTATTACAAGGTGGGGGAGATAAAAATATTTTAATACCTTGTCCTAAAGGAAAGTTTTTCTAGTATTTGAGAGGAAAGACTCATAATTGATATTTCTAATCCCAGCACTCCTACAGCAAGATGGGGACCAAAGACAGGACAGACACCCTGAGTAAGAAACAAGAGAGACCCTGCCTCAAAACAAAGTGGGAGAGAACCTCTCTCTCTCTCTCTCTCTCTCTCTCTCTCTCTCTCTCTCTCTCTCTCTCTCTCTCACACACACACACACACACACACACACACACACACACACACACACACACACACTAAATTTTTTAGAAGGAAAAAGAAAGCTCACATCTCCATTACAGAGTACTTTGTAAGTATTGACAGACTTTGATCAGTGTATATAGCTCGGTGGTAATGTAACAGAAATGCTCCATTGAAGCATCTACTGCGCTGTTGTCAAAGTACTTCATGATTTTATTTTGTTTACATTTTTTTAAGTCACCTTACTCTGGAATGTTCAGTGTTCATTCATTCTAATATAGTAGACTGTAATTACTCATTATTAACTTTAATGACTATTTTAAAAATTGTTACTAATAGAGAGAAAAAAAGGCAGGAAGATTCTCAGAGGAATCCAGAAGAAAAAATGGTGGAGAGTGCTCACATTCATCTGAGTGAGGAAAAAGTTGCAAAAGAAAGAAAAAGAAAACTGAGAGAGATACTAATCCGGACTTTCAAGGAAAATCACCAGGTGAGAATTACAGTGCCTCTCTGTTTAGCATCCTGTAGCATGAATGACAAAACGCTCCATCACAGATGGAATGAAGTATGCTGCATATGCTGGGTCATGCCTGTCATCCCATCTCTTGTGAGGCTGAGGCAGAAGGATTACTACAAGTTCAAGGTCATCTTGGGCTACATAGTGAATTCAAGTGTAGTTGGAGCTCCGCGGTAAGACCCTATCTCAAAAAATAAGAGACAGAGAAAGTGGGAGAGAGAATGCTAAGTCCTTGAGAGGGAGAGGGAATGCTAAGTCCATGAGAGGGAGAGGGAATGCTAAGTCCTTGAGAGGGAGAGGGAATGCTAAGTCCATGAGAGGGAGAGGGAATGCTAAGTCCATGAGAGGGAGAGGGAATGCTAAGTCCATGAGAGGGAGAGGGAATGCTAAGTCCATGAGAGGGAGAGGGAATGCTAAGTCTATGAGAGGGAGAGGGAATGCTAAGTCTATGAGAGGGAGAGAATGCTAAGTCCATGAGAGGGAGAGGGAATGCTAAGTCCATGAGAGGGAGAGGGAATGCTAAGTCTATGAGAGGGAGAGAATGCTAAGTCCTTGAGAGGGAGAGGGAATGCTAAGTCCATGAGAGGGAGAGGGAATGCTAAGTCTATGAGAGGGAGAGAATGCTAAGTCCTTGAGAGGGAGAGGGAATGCTAAGTCCATGAGAGGGAGAGAATGCTAAGTCCTTGAGAGGGAGAGGGAATGCTAAGTCCATGAGAGGGAGAGAGAATGCTAAGTCCATGAGAGGGAGAGGGAATGCTAAGTCCTTGAGAGGGAGAGGGAATGCTAAGTCCATGAGAGGGAGAGGGAATGCTAAGTCCTTGAGAGGGAGAGGGAATACTAAGTCCATGAGAGTTCATCTTAAATACCTAGACCAGCTGCACTGTTTGTTCCCTCTGCCTGCTGACTAGCCCACTGCTCAGTGTATCAGATCCGTATTCTGAAATGTTCTTCCAAGCTGTAGAGGTGTTGGGTGAGATCCCAGGAAACCGAGAGCTATGCTTAGGATTCCTTCTGAATAACATCTTTGGCATAGCTGTTTTTTTCTCTTGATTTTGAGACAGGGTTTCTCTGTTTAACTGCCCCGGCTGTCCTGGAACTCACTTTGTAGCCTAGGCTGGCCTTGAACTCACAGAGATCTGCCTACCTCTGCCTCCCAAGTGCTGGAATTAAAGGTGTACTGGAATAGCATTTAACTACTGCCCTTTGGCTGTTTTGAGCACCAGGCTTCTACTTTGACAGTCTTAAGGACATTTGTTTGGGTTATGCAGTCAGCACAGGAACAAGTCAGTCTCTGCTGTTTGGGATCTGAAATCCAAACGTGATGATAACTTGGGTCCCTTTTCTCACTAATGACTGATCTACCTTTTATTTTTCCTTTCTTTTCCTTTCTTCAGAAGAATTTTTATTGAAACAATATCTAATGATTTTTCTAAGCTTTTAAATTTTTATTTTTATTCCAAAGAGACGGTTTTATTCCCATAGTAGATAGGTGAATGATCTATTCAAGGAAGGTTACTTAGTCCCACTTAATGAGGCCTATGTCCTTTGCACCCATAACTAACTTTATTTTGACAAATACCTATGTTCTATGTCAGTTACTTTAGAATTGTGTGACCAAAATACCTGATAGAAAAATAACGTGAAGAATGGATGGTGGTTTCAGGAGATCAGTCCATGATCCCGGGCTCTAAAGTAGAGCATCACGGCAGCAGAAACATTGGGTGGAGGACAGCTGTTTACAGCACAGAAGACAGGAAACAAAGCCAACTAGAAAGTGGCTAGAGATGTGCCCTCAACATCCTGCCCTACTGACTTATTTCTCCATCTAGGCCCCCACTCCCAAAGCTTCCAGGACCTCCCAAGATAGCACCACCAGCTATGGACCAAACATTTGGAACATGAGCCTCTGGGGGACATCAGATTCAAACCATAACAGTTTCTTGGGTTATTTAAGCAGCTTTTTCAATGAAAGGCAATTGATCAAAATATGAATTAGGGATTATAACATTTCATATAAAATGAATTACTTGGCAGATTTGTAAATGAGATGGTTGGATGAGAAAAGATAAATATGTATATTCTCTGGCGCCCACAACACCTACAGTAGGGCCTTAGGCATTGCTAAAATTCATGAAAGTAAATAGGATGAATACATAAATGAGTGGATTTAACAAGAGAGAAAAGAGTGTAGGAAGATGCTGAGGAGCTTGATAAATGTAGGAATAGACTGACTTATAAAGGCCCTGAAATCAATAACAGGAATTTGTGATATGCATAACTAAGATAAAAGGAAAAAAGGAGTCAATATGAGTTATTAAAAGATGGACATAGTTTATGGTGACATCCTTGACTGATGGGAAGGAAGTTGTCATTATTCCAATATTAAAAATTTAATCAGTTTTAGTTTCAGAACTAGAAGGAAGTGTTAAGAGTTAGGACTAGTATTTGAGAAAGTCCAGGCTGGAGAGATGGCTCAGAGGTTAAGAGAAAGACCGACAAGGACTCTTAGATTCTGCATCCTTCAAGAGATAGGTGTAATTAGTGTACGCTTCTAGAACAAAAGTAAGGATTGCTAATGAAAAATAGGAAATGGGCTAAGCATGGTGCCTCACACCTATCCCAGCCCTTGGGAAGCAGGAGCAAGTGGATTCCTGAATGTGAGACCAGCCTGATATACATACTAGGACAGCCAGGGCTACACACACATACGCATACACACACACACACACACACACACACACACACACACACACACACACACACGCGCGCGCGCGCGCGAACTGGAGTTTACAGACAGTTGTGAGCCACCATGTGGGTGCTGGGAATTGAAACTGGGTCCTCTAGTAGAGCAGCAGTCCATGCTCTTAAACACTGAGCCATCTCCCCAGACTCTGTATGTGTTTTAGATATAATAAATGTTTTAGATAGAACTACAGAGTTAACAATAACAAAACTAATAACCAACCTAAATCTGATTGCTTTATTTCAAAAGGACATGTCAGTGTATTTGAAAAGTAAAAGTGACAACATTTGAATGAATGGTTCTTGTTTTGCCACAGATTTTTTTTTCTTTCTCATACATTAAGGTTCTATTTTGAAGGTTGATTTTGGTGCACAGAAAAGTTACAAAAATTATGTGGACAGTTTCAATCCCTGTCACCAGCCATTTCCAGTATTGAGCAAGTCTAGTGCTCAATCTAGGAAACTGGTACCACTGAGAGAGACCCTGTTAGAACGTCACCCACTTGGTGTATGTAAGTATTGATTTTATTCAGTGTGGGCTCACCAATACTTATTTTTCTCTGGGTTATGGTATTCTCTACTTTGTAGCTTAAGGATCTCATCTTTGGCCTTTGAAATAGCTTTCTGCCCTTTCTGCCCTTTCAACCATTTCCATTTCTTTCTAGGCAGTTTTTAATGGCACCACAGGATACTCCAGGTCTATTTTTTTTTTTTCTGCCATAGTGCTGAAATCAACACTTGTACATAGAATCCTGGTTCCTTTTACAAGAGAATGATCTTTAGACACCAACCCTATTGTGCACACTGCCTGGAGGTGGGGGCTATTTCTGTCCCTTCTTAGCACATAGAAGAAGGAACTCTACCTATGTCTACTAACCCGTGCTTGCTCGTACCTTCTGTTTATGTCTGTCTGTATATATATTACATACATAATTTAATACCTCTAATTCCAGCACAGCAGTATAGTATAGGGATGAGTGGCATGTCATTCCCCCCCCCTCCACCCTTATTTGTAATTTACGTCTGGACTGTCTAATTGGTATTCATCATTGTGAAGCCGTGGTATTTTCAGTGTAGCCGAGGTGACTCTCCCCACATCATACCTCTTTCCCTGACAGTAAGAAAGCTGGCCCGTTATATACATTCTGTTGACTTGTAGTTAAGGCTTACTTTGCTATAATGTAGTTGGAGAATTGCTAATCCAAGAGCTGGGTATGATGAGGCACACATATGTTCTCAACATAGGGAAGGTGGGGTAAGAGAATCAGGAAGTTAAGGCCATGTTGTGATATGTGGTGTGTTAGAGGCCAGCCTGGACTGTGTAAACTCTTACTCCCAAGCAACTATGGGAGCATATCTAACTACAATACAATATTTGTGTATTGTTTACTTTAGCCTTACAGTTTTCAGTCAAAATATTATTTCCCAACTTCGTTCAGGTTCTTCTCTTCCCCTTCAGTGTGGCTGCGTTTTTTATTATGATATGGGTCTTGAACCTCTAACTTGGTATTTCTGCAGTGTATTCCGAAACCCAGTAAAATCTACCTACCTGACTCCTCACCTTTACACAGACATAACTGGAAATAGTCTTTTGTTAAATTCCAGTACAGGTCTAGTTCTAAAAGAGCCCAAAGCTGCCTTCACCAGCCACACGATGAATAAGAGGAAAATGTCCTTTGACTCACATCAGGGCAAGAAAACAGCCTGTGTACTCAGAATGTTCCACAGCACACACCTGATAGAGATACTCATAGAGAATATTATCGGGGGCTGGAGAGATGGCTCAGTGATTAAGAACACTGGCTGCTCTTCCAGAGGACCCGGGTTCAATTCCCAGCACCCACATGGCAGCTCACAACTGTCTGTAACTCCAGTTCCAGAGGATCTGACACCTTCACACCAATGCACATAAAGTAAATTTAAATAAATTTAGGAATATTATCAAGAAGACTTTATGGAATCTCTTTCTAAGAGTTGTTCCGATATAGGTCTCTATCGTTTTTTGTGCCTTGATTCTGGGTTTTAGCTGTATCATTTAGTTAGTTAGTTAGTCTTGTGTTTTTTGAAACAGATTTTCATAGCATGGCCCAGACTGGCCAGCAGCTTGCTATGTAACCCAGGCTGGGCTCAGACTCAAAGCTGTCCACTTGCCTCGGCTGCCCTAGTGCTGGTGGGCCGTATAATTAATAGACTTCGGAGAGATCTGGCCTCTTACCGGTGCACACGTTCAG